CTGCTTGGCTTCCAAGATCAAACAAGATCTGGTGTGTCCAGGGTGAGATGGCTGAAGACTTGAACATTTTAATTTCAGATGTGGTTTCTCAAAAATTTTCAGAAGCTAATGCTAACAATTAAAGATCCTTTGAAAGTAAGTAAGTGGTCCAGTTTAAAGGCATAGGATCCTTTAAAGTTGTCTGAACAGCAAGCTATATTTGGGGATTTGGCATTCAGAGGGGCTGTCTTGGATTAGGTCTCAAAATACCTAAAGGATTTCCTTAAACAGGCCCAGTGTCAGACACAACAGGTGTTTTACTTCTAATTTTGGAAGCAGAAGCAGCCAGTTTAGAATGAGGGTGCTATGCACTCATTCAGCAGGAGTGGGGACAATAAGTAATTTTGCCAAGACATCAAGTGTAGGAAAAAAATGGATGTTTTATTCTTCTCATAGTTCTAAAAACCAAATTTTTACAAGATAACAGAATTTTGATGAATTCTGATTAAAGCCTCTGTTTTTTCAGTATTTGTAGCAATTAATTAAAAAATATTGAAAGTAGACTCTAGTGTTTCAGGTTCTATACTAGAATACTTATTGAAATAATTATGTCCATTCTTATTTCTATTATACTATTGCCAGTGAATTAAATTATTGAAATGGGAAATAAAGACATTGTAGATTTAAGCATATATTTGGTTTCCTTTTCTTGTCAAAATACTTTAAATAAATTTGGGGGCTTTAGAAGAAGGTGATATTACTTTATTAAAAATATGGAAACATTTAAATAAGATTAAAATATATATAGGCCTTAAAATATAAAATATGCCTGAAACATTATTAGCTACCTCAAATGAACTTTGTCTGCATATAAAACATAAATGTGAGCAATCCTTTTGAGTGACTTTAAAAAAATTAAAGAAATTGTTATCATGAACTTTTCAATTACAAGGGTTCATAAACTTTCAAATGTGAAGTCCCTGGAAATGTTTCTAATATATCCTCAAGATATTCAGTGCAATCTTAGTATGATATATACAGTACATTTCCCATAAATACACACTAAATGAGATAAGCTTCAAAAATTCTTATTGAAGAAATCCTATATAATAAAAGCCTAATATGCAAATTGTCCCCTTGGGCAATTGTTTGACCAGGAGTTCGACTGCTCGCTATGACATGCACTGACCAACAGGTGGCATCGCGGAACATGGCGGGCATCGGCTATATGCTGTGACCTCTTGCTGGGTACCTAGGGGCTGGGGGCAGGGGTGATGGGGATGGAGTTGTGGTAAGAATGCAGGGTGTCCGCTGAGGTTCTTTCACTCCCTCTGCTACCCTCCCCAGGGCTTGCCCACAAGGAAGCCCCCACCCTCAGGTGCCAGGCGTCAGCCTCTTTCCAGTGAGGCAGGCCACAGCCTCTGGGACCACAGGGGCTGGTTGGGCTCCCCATGGGTTCACCCAGGAGCCAGTCTGCAAGGCCGACTGGGAGAGAGCACGCTGCCTGCCAGCTTCCTTGTGGCGCTGCTAGATGGTCCAGAGGGCTATGCTGTGCCCCAGCCCGTGGCATCTGGCCTCGCTCACAGCATCTCCATATGGGGAGTCAGGCTCTGTGACTAAGGAAGAGAGGGGCATAGGGGCCCAGGTGTTGTCCAGGGCCCAGAGGTCAGCTGGGACCTGCCCTTCCACACCAGACTCTTGCGCTTCCATCGCAGTTCCAGCCTAGGGACTGCACTTGTGCATGAATTTCGTGCACCAGGCCCTTAGTATCCTATCTAATAAAAGAGAAGCATGCAAATTGATCATACCTCTGCTACACCCACAAGCCATGTCCACCAGCCACACCCACCAGCCAATCAGCAGTGAGCATGCACATTAACGCAACCAAGATGGCGGTTAATTTGCATACCCAGGTTCAGAGAGAAGACTGAAGACAGCATAGAAGGAAGCCAAACTCTGCAGAAGCAAGCAAGCAGGATGGCGGAGAAGGGAAGGAAGCAGGAGGGGCAGAGGAGAAGGGAAGAAAGCAGGAGGGGCGGGGGAGAAGGGAGGGAAGCAGGAGGGGCGGGGGAGAAGGGAGGAAAGCAGGAGGGGTGAGGGAGAAGGGAGGGAAGCAGGAAGGGTAGGGGAGAAGAGAGGGAAGCAGAAAGAGCAGGAGGAGAAGGGAAGGAAACAGGAGGGGCTGCAGAGACCACCTTGGGAAGCCCTATTGCAGGAATTCCTGCAAGGGGCTTATAGTATTAAAATAAAAGTTAAGAAAGGCATGGTTTTCTTGTCCTATCAGAAAGTCTGTTGCTTATAAAATGAACACTATAGGGTCTACTCACTTGAGGAATTCAATATTTAAGCTCTATGGTTCAGATGTTACTTTGAATTCTTCTGTGGATTTAAAAGAGAATCTAGCTAGCCCTAGCTTGTTTGGCACAGTGGCTCAGTGGCTAGAGCATGGGCATGTAGACTGAAGGGTCCCAGGTTCCATTTCAGTCCAGGGCGCATGCCCAGGTTGTTGGCTTGATCTCCAGTAGGGGGCGTGCAGTAGGCAGCCAGTCAATGTTTCTCATCATTGATGTTTTTATCACTCTCCCTCTTCCTTTCTCTCTGAAATCAATAAAAACAAACAAACAAAAAATCAAACCTATTTTGAAAAAAAGGCAAGCTATGTTGTAAGTAATGGCAAACCTCTATAATTATTTTAAAAAATATTTTATTGATTTTTCACAGAGAGGAAGGGAGAGGGATAGAGAGCTAGAAACATCAATGAGAGAGAAACATCAACCAGCTGCCTCTTGCACACCCCCTACTGGGGATGTGCAGGCAACCAAGGTACATGTCCTTGACTGGAATTGAACCTATGACCCTTCAGTCTACAGGCAAACTGGTTAGGGCTGTAATTCTTTTTGAGTGGAATGAGAAGTGTATGCAATGTAAATATTTTTGAAGAAAAGGAACAGGTTTGACTTGAAACTAGATTTTTCTAAATGATTCCATAATGTATGTTTCTTTACACCATGTACAAAATGTAATATTGCGACAAGGAAATTTATTTAGGTCACAATAACATATATTCTCTAAAAACAGCACAATTGGAAAGAATTCTTAAGCAGTAAGAAATCACATTGAGCCCCGGGTGGTTTGGCTCTGTGAACAGAGCGTGGGCCTGCGGACTGAAGACTCCCGGGTTTCATTCCAGTCAAGGGCACATGCCCGGGTTGCAGGCTCAGTCCCCAGTGTGGGGCATGCGGGAGGCAGCTGATCAATGATTCTGCCTCATCTGTCTCTCTCCCTTCCTCTCTGAAATCAATTAAAAAAAAAAATAAATCACACTGAGAAGCTCCAGGGTGGATACACAAGCTAGTCACCCATTGCTTGCACCAAACGCACTGAAAACTAATTTCTAGTTTTCAGTAATGTGCACTGTACTCTCACCCTCGGGCCTGCCTTATCTCCATTCCAGAGTGCCTTTGACTACATGTCTAACCTCACAGTAACACCCCCGTTTCTTTCTCCCCCAGCTCCACCTTGGCCTCAGACTGGAGTGCATTTTACGATTAACCATGTGTTTAAGTCATTAGGACATCAGCCGCTGTTGAATTTTAGCAAAATACAATTACGGAGTCACAAAAACAGGCCGGGTTTTCAACATAACGCGTCACATAACTTCCAAGGGTGGGACCTGGAGCAGGAAGCCTCCAGGCACTTGTGGAAACCTCGGCCAGACCAGCTTGTTATCAAGCAATTACAGGGTGACATTTTAAAGGAAAAAACAACTAGCATTTTCCTGACCATTGCCATTTCTGTGGGCTGGGTGCGCAGCTACAGAGAAGGGGGAACAAAAAACGTCGGTGGCAAAGGCATCTTGCCACAGTGCGTGAGCTGCACTTGGCATTTCCAATAGGAATCCGCAGCAGGCGGCTAATTTACGGACAGTCTGTATTGTCCAACACCGTGCCGGCCCCAGCGGGCTTCGCCCATCAGCTCTGTTTGCCACTTCAGCCGTTCAAGCCACCGCCATGGAAACCACGGGAGGAGAGGCCGCCGGGGGGAGGGGTGCAGACAGGTGCGCCCTCTGGGTGGGAATACACAAAGGGCCGACCCCGCCACCGCCGCCGTGTCCCTGGCAACTCCACGCACTCGGGGCGCGCGCTCTTCCCGCGGCCGCGAGGCGCAGCGGGCAGCCCGGCGGGCGGCGCGCGCAAGTCACCGCGCGTCAGCTCGCGGGAGAGCCCTCGGCCTGCTCTCGCTCCGGCGCGGGCCCCCGGGAAACGCGAAGCCGGCTCCGGCGGCGCAAGGGCTGTCGGGATTTGTAGTCCACTCGGCCTCCCAGGCAGCGCGTCCCCGCCCGTCGCAAGCCAAACTTCCTGCCGCTGCCAAAACCACACCTCCCGGCATCCTCTCCGGCTGTCGGGCCGAAAGCGAAAACAAATTTCTGGGCTGCGAGGGAGCTGCCCTCACTGCCTGCTGGCTTCCCGACCCGCTCCCCGCCCCACCGGTGCCCTCCTGCGAGGCGTGGAGACTGAAAGGCCGCGTTTCTCTCTCTTAGCTTCCTTGGCTCCCGGCGTCGGGAGTGCGGCGCACGCAGGCCTTGTTTCACCGGAGCCGGCCTCGCGCGCGCGAGGGGCGGGGTTTCCTCGCTTCACCCCCCCACTCTCCCCCCCAGTCGGGACGAGGAGGAAACTTGTGGGGAAGGCGACCCCGGGCCCGGGTCTGGAGCACGACAGCGAGGCCGCCGGGAAGTGACTTCTCACTCTCGGGTTTTCTCTAAACATTTCCCCTGGGTGCGCGGTCTCTCGGAAGGCGGCCGCCTGCGCACTGCCATGCATTAGGCAGGGGCTCCCTTATGCGCTCGGAGGGCGCGGACCGCTGCCTCGGGCCGCCGCCGCCGCCGCCGCCTGCGGAGCCCTAGACACAGCCGCCGCCGCCGCCGCCGCCGCCCGTCCTAGGCCCGGGGCGCAGAGGAGCCGGCGGCGCGGCCATGTGGGGCTAAGCCCGCGCCGCGCCTGGCCTGCAGCGGGACCGGCAACATGGAGGCGGCCGTCGATGCGCCCGACGGCGGGGACCAGCGCGGCGCGGGGCCCCGCGAGGACGTGACGCCCATGGACGCCTATCTGCGGAAACTGGGCTTGTATCGGAAACTGATCGCCAAGGATGGGTCCTGCCTGTTCCGGGCTGTGGCGGAGCAGGTAAGGGGGTCGGGAGTCGGGGATCGGGGTCGGTGGGGCCGGGGCCGGGGGGTGGGGTGGCCCGCAGCTACCCCGGCGGCCTGCGTCCGGGGCTGCGCGGGCCCCGCTGTCGTCACAGCCGCCCATTGTAACGCTGCCGGAACGGGACGCCGTCCTGGGTCTGGAAGCTGCAAATCGAAACTTAAAAACCCGTGGATGATCGGGGTGTCGCCCCTCCAGGCGGAGAGGTAATGCGTGGAGGGCCCCCTGCGAGGCCCGCCGCCGGAAGCATGCACAGTTAGTTGATTGATTGCTGGGGACTTGGCGAAATGATGTATTTTTTTTTTTTTCCATTCTGTTCCGCATTCACCTCCTTTTCGTTTTACAAGCAGAGCGTAAAACCCGCTGTTTGCTGGAGGAGGTGGTGCACCAGACCTGACTCGTAGGACATTGTTTTTTCTGCTGCCGGACTTTGGAACGTGGGGGGTGGTCAAGGCCGCCGTGGTTCCTGTGAATCTAGGGGAGGGGGAAAATGTGCAGTTAGGGCAAGCCGACCTCTAAAAAATATAGAATGTTTTAAAATATTTGTCTTAGTTTCCATTCTTTATTTTGCTTTGCAAGGCAGTGTAGGTGTACTGAAAATAATTTACTTTAAAAAAAAAAAAAGTCTGTTTAGTGTTGATTGTAGGAAGGATGTAACCGGGGGTGCTTTAGGCCCTTCTTGGCCGAATTTTCCCGTTAATGGTCAAAATCACATTCTAACACAGTGGCTTAGGAAGTTGTTTCTGTTTTTTTTTTTTTTTTTTTGTAAGAGAGACTTTTCCGCGTTATATAACACCGTGTGGTTGGTAGATATGCAGTCACCAAGATCCATCCTATGTTGAAAATATCTGCTAAAATAGTTGGATAAAAGTTTCACTTGCTGACCTGGTTTGTACTAGTAATTTCATACTATTCACAGTTTTGCTTTCCTTTGCTTAAGATTCACTCCTCCCCATCCATGGAGTTTTTAGGTTTCTGTTTTTCTCACCTTTTTTTGAATGCTAAAATAGATATCAAAATTTCTGTTTATGAAAAATGTTTTACTTAACAGCTGTAGACCAGTCTATTCTAATTTTTTTTTTCAATATCAAAAGGCCAGTCATTTATTTTCCAAAGGCCCTCTCTTCACATCAGTAGCATGAAATCTTTTTTTAAAACAAGAAATTGATTTAACTGGTATACACCTTTGTATTTTAAGTGTCATTGTCACTCAAACATTCTTCTTAAAGCTTCCCAATCAAGCTCTGTCTTTTTCAGTTCTTGATTTTTCTCTCATTTTTAGAAATTTAGAGTGTTCCAGTGTTGCTGTGGGATATATTCACACCCACCCACCCTAGGCTTTACTATTAGTAGTAGGTAAACAGTATTTCCCATTTATGAATTTTCCACATCTCCGGCTGCTCTGCTGCTTCTGTCTCAGCCTCCCTGAACTCCTTAGCACTCCAGAAGCAGAGGGGAGTGGTGAAAGTATATTATATATTCGGTTAGCTCTAGCAAGAGTTCAGTACGGAAGAGGTAGAAACCAATAAAAGTAAGAGTAGTGTGACATTTATTTGGAATTCGATTTCCAGATTTTTGGTTTATATTGAAGCAGAAAGGTGTACCTTATCTTATTTCAGTATTCCATGCCATAGATAATTAGTGAACTCAGTTATACAGAAGCCTCTCTTTTGTAGTGGGATCTCTGTTTTTAAGTAGAAGGGGGCAAGAGCTAGTTATATTAAGAACTCATTGCTAACATCAGATAAATTCCATTATAATGAGATACAATAAAATGTGTTAAGTTAGGCGTAAGGGAATATCCCCTTCCTTTATGCGACTCGTGATTTTTAGTATACAGAGTTTCAGAAGCTTACCACCATGAATTTTGGGAAAGCTCAGTTCTTGGACATGGGCTAAGCATAGAGCCTTATGGCCAAAGGCAAAGCTTGTGTGGGGGTTGGGAGCAAGGGAAGTAACACCAACCTTAGGCTGCCCTTTAAAAATATATACAAAGGATTTAATTTTGTTGCCAACATTTTCTTAAGTATCAAAGTAATTTATTGTTTCTAAGGAGTCAGAGTAAGTAATCTAAATGGCAGTCGTTGGGGGGAGTCGGGTAGAGACTTGAGTTAGGAATAGTCTTTCCCTCCAATTTACCTGATTTAGATAGGCCCTTCCCTTTTTACACTTCTGGACGTGGGCCTGCGGGAGGCCTGACCTCAATCAGCTTTGTGGCCATGGAGCTAAAAATAGGGCACTCTTAGAGGACTTGCTAAAGCAGTGTATCTCAAGTCTTTCCCAGTGTTTATCCTTAGCTTGTCCCAAGCAAAGATAGAAAAGCCGCCTATTTGTAGCTTATTTCATCTATAATAATTTGCAGAGATATTTGTCATTTCAAATCTTCCTGAGTGTCCTTGAACTTGTACAATTATACTTTTTAAACAGTTGTCATGTAACTTTGTTGCTTCTCTTCCAGTGCTTGGCTTTGTAAAGCACCAGCACCCAACACTTTATGGAAGTTGGCTTAGAGTTCGCTTCGTAGTAACAGGTTCAGATTTCAAGTGCTAATAAAGTCTTTATTAAAAGGAGAAAAAAATAGTATTCCTATCATTGTTTTTGATGGAAAATAAGCTTTATTCACTAACCACCTGTTGCTAGGTAAATTGCATTAAGACTAGCTTCACTTTGCTAACTGCAAGAAAGCCCTATCAAATGACACTATAGTTTATTCAGACTAATAATACCTTGATTCATAATGGTGTCTGATTTAACATATGTGAAGTATCATTAACATTTATTCATTGGCAAAAAAAAAATGTGTGGTGTTTATTTTTATATATGGACAGTTCTTTCAGCCCTGGAAGCTTATAGTATGTAAGGATGCTTTTTAATAGTTCTCAGGACAGCATTGCAAAATCAGCTGCTATACTGAAAACAAATTCATTGCTAATCTCAGACAGTGCATCTTCAGTATATCTCAAAGTAAAGAGACACACTAGCTGTCCAGACAGTTGGGCCTCTGGTTCTGTGGATATAAATGAGCCTTGGCTATTATCCAAAGAGACCTATTATATAAAATGTACAGCTGGAGCCTCCCTTTTCCTGCTCACCGTGAGCATATGGGAGAATCTCAATTGGAATTGTAACATTTTATGGTATAATTGACATACAATATTATATTAGTTTCAGGTGTACAAAATAGCCATTTGACATTTTTATACTTTACTAGAGGCCCGGTGCACGAAATTTGTGCACAGGGTGTGTGTGGGGGGTGTCCCTCAGCCCACCCTGCACCCTCTCCAACCTGGGACCCCTTGGGGGATGTGGGATCGGGCCTAAATGGGCAGTTGGACATTCCTCTCATAATCTAGGACTGCTGGCTCCCAACTGTTTTCCTGCCTGCTTTCCTGATTGCCCCTAACTGCTTCTGCCCGCCAACCTGATTAACCCCTAACTACTTTCTTGCCAGCCTGATTGATGCCTTACTGCCCCCCTGGCAGCCTGATTGCCCCTAACTGCCCTCCCCTGCAGGCCAGGTCCCCCAAACTGCTCTTCCTTGCAGGCCTGGGTCCCCCACAATTGCCCTTCCCTGCAGGCCCAGTCACCCCTAACTGCCCTCCCCTGCTGGCCTGATCGCCCCCAACTGTCCTCCCTTGCAGTCCTGGTCTCTCTCAACTTCCCTCCCCTGCTGGCCATCTTGTGGTAGTCATCTTGTGTCCACATGGGGGCAGGATCTTTGATCACATGGGGGCAGACATCTTTTGTGTGTTGGAGTGATGTTCAATCTGCATATTACTCTTTTATTAGATAGGATAGAGGTCTGGTGCGTGGGTGGGGGCCAGCTGGTTTGCCCTGAAGGGTGTCCAGATCAGGGTGGGGGTTTTCTTGGGGTGTGGGGCAGCTTGGGCAAGGAGCCTGTGGCAGTTTGCAGGCTAGCCATGCCCCACCCCCCCACCCCTTCCTGCAACTCAAGTGGTACCTGGGATTTATCTTCTACAATTAAAACTTTGTAACCTTGAGCAGAGCCAAGCCTCTTGCTCGAGCTGCCACCATTTCTGTTGGAATTAATGTATTTTCTATAATTGAAACTTTGTAGCCTTAAGCAGAGGCCTGGTCCGGCCAGGGCTGCAGAAATTTGACTTCTATTGCCGGGGGCTACCCTAGCCTCCTGCTCTTCCACCTCTGTGGCTGCCGCCATTTCTGTTGGAATATACTGAAACTTTGTACCCTTGTGTGGAGGCCTGGGCCCACCAGCGTTTGTGGAAAGCTTGGCTTCCTCTATCGCCAGGGAAACCCAAATCTTTCTCCTATTGGCTCAGTGGCTGCAGCCATCTTGGTTGTGATTAATTTGCATACTCATCGTGATTGGCTGGTGGGCGTGGCTGGTGGGTGTAGTGGAGTGATGGTTAATTTGCATATCACTCTTTTATTAGGTAAGATAGTGTGATCACCACACTAATTCTAATATCTGTCACAATGTAAAGTTACCACAATATTGCTGACTATATTTCCCTTCACCCTTTTCACCCAATTCCCCATCTCTTTCCCCTCTGTAAACCATCCCTTTGGTCTCTATTTATATGAGTCTGTTTTTTTTTTTTTTTTAATTCCATTTGCTAAAGGCCTGGTACACGAAATTCATGCACGGGGAGGGGGAAGTGTCAGCCCAGCCTGCACCCTCTCTAATCCAGTACCCCTCTGGATGTCTGACTGCTGGTCTAGACCAGTAGTCGGACACCCCTTTCACAATCCCGGACAGCTGGCTCCTAATCACTCACCTGCCTGCTTGACTGGTTGCTCCTAACTGTCCCCTGTTGTCAGCCAGGTCTCCCCCATTAGCCTCCTCCCTGCTGGCCTGTTGGCTCCTAACTGCCGCCCCCCCCGCCCCCCAGTCTTGTCACCCCTAACTGTCCCCCACTTCTACTGGCCTAGTCACCCCTTACTGCCCCCCAGCTTGGTCACCCCCAACTGTCGCCCACCCCTTACCGGTCTGGTCACCTCTTACTGGCTCCCCTGCTGGCCTGGTCGCTTTTATCTGTCCCCTCGCCTGCCTGGTTGCCCCTCACGGCTCTCCTGCTGGCCTGGTCACCCTACACAGCCTGCTGTTCAGTTGTTTAGTCATACCTCACTAACCCCCCTGCTGGCCTGGTTGCCCCTGCAGTCTATTTGTATGGTTGTTTGGTTATTCCTTTTGCTGGCCCTGGGTGGCTGGGCAGCTAACATCTGAGGCTTGCCTGCAACTCGGGCTGGCCCTGGGCAACTGAGAGACTGAGGGGACTGGGTACCGCCATCTTTGAGGGTGTGACAGTCATTTAGCATATTCCCCCTTATTGGCTGTGGGTGCTGCCATCTTTGTGACAATGTGAGGGTCAATTAGCATATCTTCTTGTTATTAGATAGGATAAGTCAAACTACGATACAGTATTTGTCTTTGAGTTATTTTACTTAGCATAAATACTCTATAGGTGTCCATTCATGTTGTCACATATGGCAGGTTTTGTTCTTTTTTATTGCTGCACAGTATTCCATTGTGTGTGTATACACCCACCATATCAGCTTTATCCATTCAGCTGTCTATGGATACCTAGACATATCTTGGCTATTGTAAATAATGCTGCAGTGAATATGGGGGTGCATGTATCTTTTTGAATTAGTGTTTTTGTTTTCTTTGGATAAATACCCAGGAGTGTATTTCTGGGTTATATGGTATTTCCAGTTTTATTTTTTGAAGAGTCTCCTTATTGTTTTGCATAGTGACTGCAAATTTGCAGACCAGAGTTCTCTTTTTCCTTTATCCTCACCAACACCTGCTATTTGTTGACTTTTTTATAATAGCCATTCTGACTGTTGTAAAGTGTTATGTCATTGTGGTTTTGATTTGCATTTCCCTGATATTAGTGATGTCTGTTGGCCATTTGTATGTCTTCTTTGGAAAAATTTTTTTCATGTCCTCTGCTCATATTTTTGGATTGTTTAATATTTTTTTTTTTTTTTTTTTGTTAACTGAATTTTATGAGTTTCTTACATATTTTGGATATCAATCCCTTATCAGATATACTGGAGTTATAACTCCTAAAATTATTTTATAATATAAATTTTCAAGTGGCCTTCAGAGTAGTTGAGATGTGGTTATTTTAAATGTCAGTTTTTGTGTTTTGTTTTTTCCCTCCACCTTGTGCTATAGGGTACCAGGAACATCTTTGAGACACCTAGCAATAGAAAATAATATTATTCTTCTCTTAAGTGTGGAAGTTAAAGTATTGGAGGCTAGCCAAAGGGTCCTAAGCATTTACTTGATAATAGTTTGTTTGAAACCAAAGCTTTGGATCTTTAGTAAGAGACAAAAGGCCAATAAATTATCCTTTTGTTGAATTAGTAGCTTAACTGAAGAACAAAGGCTACAGAATGAGAGGATTTGGTTCATTTTGTAGTGTGGCTTATTTCAGGTGGTGCTTTAAGATTTTGGGCAGCCTGGCCTGTGTGGTTCAGGGGTTAATGTTGACCCATGAACTAGGAAGTCAGGGTTTGATTCCTCTTCAGGGCACATGCCCAAGTTGTGGCTTGATCCCTAACAGGGAGCATGCAGGAGGCAGCCAATCAATGATTCTTACTAGTCATTGATGCTTCTATTTCTCTCTCTTCCCTCCTCTCTGAAATCAATACAAATATATTTTTAAAAATATTTTGGGCATAAGAGCAAGTTTCAAGGCTATTGGAATGACAGCACAGCAGCATATTTGCATCCTGTGTGCTGCTCACTTGGATGTTCTTTCAAGAGTCCTGTAAGGATTTAAAAATTGAGTTTGGCTCAGTGGTAGAGCGTCCGTCTGCAGACTGAAAGGTCCCAGGTTCGATTCTGGTCAAGGGCAAGTGCATTGGTTGCGGGCACATCCCCGGTAGGGGGTGTGCAAGAGACAGCTGGTCGATGTTTCTCTCTCATGCACGTTTCTAGCTCTGTATCTCTCTCCCTTCCTCTCTGTAAAAAAAACAATAAAATATATTTTTTAAAAAAGAATTGAGTATCTTAATTTTTCTGAAAGCACTTAGTTTCTACATAAGGCAGGTAATTTAAAATGCCTGGGGTGGATCTAAGCAGTGCACAGCAGAGATTCTGTTAGTTCTGCTTTGTGAAGAGCCGATTTACAGTAGAGGGCTGACCAACAGAAGAAAGTGTCTTAAGTTAACAAAGATTTTCTTTAAGGAATGATTTCAATATTTCAGTGACCTAAAGGAGAAATGATAGTAAGCTCTTTGTAGAATGGCATCTGTTTTAAGAAATACTGCTGTTTGTGTGTGTCATGTCATCCTTATGATTAGAGAAAGAAATGGGAATGAATAAAGATTTAGAAATTATAGAAAGACAGATGATGTGTCTGTTGGTTGTGAGATTTTTTGGGAGTGTCTAGGTTGTAACTTAAATCTTATTTTAACAAAATGCTTAATGGTATGTTGCTTTTTCTTTTAGGTATTGCATTCTCAGTCTCGCCATGTTGAAGTCAGAATGGCCTGTATTCACTATCTTCGAGAGAACAGAGAGAAATTTGAAGCGGTAATTTGTAATTTTAAATGAAATGGTATCTCGACTTGCGTTTACAGTTCACCCTTTAGAGAAGTGGTCTAGGGGGAATTTCACAGGATGGATCTTAATGGGGGTTATGAAAATCCCCCTTATAAAAAAGAACTGCTTTATTGAGTTTAAATCCAATTATATTCTTTTGTGGTAGTTTTTATGCCATTTAGTGGTATTCATTTATTATTCAGGCTTTTAGAAAGCTTCTGTGACGGATAAGACGCAGCTATGGAGGATAGAGGATGACTTAGGCAGGTTCCTTACATATTAAGAGTGAGTTTTGTATGACATAGATTAAATGGGAGTGTTGTGGTTAATATAGTTTTCCGTGATTTCCCCTATGAATTCATACTACGTCTTTTATTTTATCAGAAGGCATTTATATATTTTTAATTTTCAGGCTTCATTGTGAATCATATTAGAATACTGTAATTATGTAAATATGATTAATAGTTAATAGAATGTTGTAGAACACTTTACTGAAATTTTCTCAGTAGTATGTAATAGGCTGTAAAATATGACAGAGACCTATTTTCATTTTACATTGAGAGTCTTGTAAGATTTGCTTAGAATTAAGTCATATGACAACTTTCAATGATATGCTCCCCTGTGGACTGCTAAAAGAACGTTGGTGTTTTGCAAATAACTCAATTCTGAGAGCTAATAAATAAATGGTTCTTAATTTGGCTATGTTCTTGGGTTGGTTTTCCTATATTCAAGCAAAATATTATTTGTAACATTTTCCTGAGTGCCATTTTATAAAATGGACAATAATACATTTCAGAAAGGAGATATGAAAACTTGTCTTACAAAAAGAAAACTGGTATGAGGCTACATAGAATATTAGGGTGTGGTGCAGAACAGAAAGGTAAATGGAGTAGTGGTCTTTAAGTATTTGAAGAAATTACAAATGAGTTAGTCATTATTATTGACCCCAGAGGGTAAAACTCTCTTGACAATAATGAAAATTACTAACACTGGTTGAGCACTTAATATGTGCCAGGCATTCTTTTAAATGCTTTGCATATATTTATTTAACCCTTGCAATCTTACAAGATATTACCAGAAGTTGAAAATTCCAAAGGGGTAAATTTCACTTTACCATTTCTGTTGGCCAGAATGGGAAAAGGCTGTCATGGGAAGGGGGTAGGTTATTCCTTGTGACGGAGGATGTTCAGTCAGAGCCTAGCTGGATGCTTTTCTGATTAGAAAGGAGAGTCTTATATTGGATACTAGAGGCCCAGTGCACGAAATTCCTGCCCTAAGTGGGGGGGGGGGGAGTGTCCCTCAGCCCAACCTATGCCCTCTCCAATCTGAGACCCCTCCATGGATATCCGACTGCCTGTTTAGGCCCAATCCCCACAGTCAGATATCCCCTTTCACAATCCGGGACCACAGGCTACCAACCGATCGCCTGCCTGTTTGCCCCAACTGCTACCGCCTGCCAGCCTGATCACCCCCTAACCACTCCCTTGCTGGCCTGGTTGCCCCCAACTGCCCTCCCCTGTAGGCCTGGTCTTCCCTCTGTCCCTCAACTAACCCTCCCCTGCCAGCCTTGTCCTCCCAATTGCCCTCCCCTGGTGGCCTGGTCCCCCCCACCAACTGCCCTCCTCTGCTGGCCTGGTTCCCCCTAACTGCCCTCCCCTGCAGGCCTGATTGCCCACAACTGTCCTCCCCTGCTGGCCATCTTGTGACAGCCATCTTGTGAATGGGTGTGATGGCCAATTTGCATATTATCTCTTTAATATATAGGATTATATAGGATAGGCTTGTAAAACACTGCTTGGGTCTCTACCAACTGTAAATGGTTCTGTGGGGTTTTAAGTCTATAAATAATCATCTAATATAAAACAGTAGCCTCTGATTGGTGGATATTTAAAATAAATAGCTATTTTGTTATAATGTGTTGAACTCAAGATACTTTCTGGAAATTTGACAGTCTACTGTCTATAAAATAATCTCAGTCTTAAAAAAAGATCCATGGGCATTTAAAAGATTTTTATAGACTAGATAGTGTACTTTAATGTTTTTTAATTTTGCAAAATTGACTGAGCCTGTAATTTAAGTAAAATTGTAATTTAAATAAAATTGATGTTTCAGATGGTGTTTTAGGGCCTTCTTGATTAAATTAGTATAATGACCATTAGAAAAACAAAAAAAATGTTATCACAGCTTTTTTTTTTTTTTTTTTTTAAGGTTTGTTATTGATTTTTAGAGAGGAAGGGAGAAGGATTGAGAGAGAGAGAAAAACATGTGCCCTGACAAGGAATTAAACCTGCAATCTTTTGGTGCACGGGAGCTTCACCAGCCAGGGCTCACATAACTTTTTAATTTTATTGATTTCAGAAAGAAAGGGAGAAGGAGAGAGAGATAGAAATATCATTGATGAGAGAGAATCATGGATCGGCTGCTTCCTGCACACCCCCAACTGAGGATCGAGCCCACAACCTGGGCATGTGCCCTTGACTGAAATCAAACCTGGGACCCTTCATTCCCATAGGCAGACACTCTATCCACTGAGCCAAACCAGCCAGGGCTCACATAGCTTGAATAAACTTTTATTTTTATGTTAAGGTGACAATGAAGCAAAGTGTATTAGAAAATATCTTACTGATTTTTCAAAATATCTTTAGCATTATTAATTCTCATCTCTGTTTTTAGTATAACTTAAGGAACAGTGAATATTCATATCTGTATTAGTAAACCAATGTCTTAGCTAATGTATCTGTCTTTGTTTATTCTCCCCTACATATTGGCCATTTTCAAATTAACCTTAAAATGCTGCTTTTACCATATCATTTCTCTGTTCATAATGTCACCTGCAGTGACCTTGTATTGCCTTCTCTCCCTCTTCTGAAAGTCCTGCCTGGGCTCAAACTGTCTATAAACAGATGTTCAGTCTGAATTCTCTCTCACTCTGCTCTCCTCATGAAAGTACCCTGTTCTTGCTGACCAGGTCACTCCTGTCCTCACTGTTTCCACATGCCATATTGTCCCTGTGTCTGTCCATATCCTGTCCAGGAAACCTTTTCTGACAGTACTTCCTTCTTTAAATTCTTTTTGTGTGTTTATGATCCTCACTTAATGATTTGTATGTATTTTCATAATTAGATTATATATGTGTATATATATTTTACTGTTACCGAGGTATCTAAGGTTTATGTAAGAACTCAGTAATTCACAATGGAGAGGTTAACTGTTGTTTTGATGTATTCCTAATAGATTTCTTTTTCCTTTTCCAGTTTATAGAAGGATCATTTGAAGAGTATTTAAAACGTTTGGAAAACCCACAGGTATGCAGTAGTCTTTTATCTATTATATATATATAAGATTAATATTATAGTGTATGGAAGGGTTATAGTGAGTTACCCTGTCTCTTGTAAACATTTCTTAGGTGCGCATTTTACACAGCATTTAATTGGAAGATAGTTGGAGCTTTGTACTGTGCTGTGCACTAGATATTGCCTAAGGACAGGGTTGTGGTATCTTTATCTTTGTTATAATGGCATGTGACTGTAGTGTAAAAGAGCTAAAATGAAACGTGATGAATTTCATAATGCTGTGTTGGTAGGTGTATGGGAGTTGGTGGACAGGGCAAGATTTGATCACTTCTTCAGGTAACTGAGAAGATAGGTTCTTTTATGGAGATTTTATTTCCCATAATTAGCTTGAGAAGAAGGAAATGTCTGTTGAGAGTAAAAGGTCAGCACTTCCAGGTCTAACTGCCACACTTCCTCAGTTATGCTGATGTTAAAATAAATTTTTTTCTGCTTACAAAACTCCTGTAAAAAATCCAAATATCATGGAATGTCATGTAGAATGTTCTGTTATCTCCAGAGGTAATTACTGTCAATTTTTTTATTTTATTGATTTTTGAACAGAGAGGAAGGGAGAGAGATAGAGAGTTAGAAACATCGATGAGAGAGAGTCATCGATCAGCTGCCTCTTGCACACCCCCTACTGGGGATCTGCCCGCAACCAAGGTACATGCCCTTGACCGGAATCGAACCCGGGACCCTTTCAGTCCCCAAGCCGACGCTCTATCCATTGAGCCAAACCGGTCTCGGCAATTACTGTCAATTTTAAAATGACATTAGCAAAGGATGAAGCTCAGAGGAGTCGGGTAGGAGGGAAGGGAATAGTAACATGAGATCAGGGTGTTTGGTCAGCAACTGGTATCTCAGTTTGATTCCCTAACATTAGTTTGAGTTTTGCTGTGATCCAAGAATTGCCAGTAACCTTGGGGATGCAGAAGTGAGAAAGTACATATGCCATAAAAACAACAGGAATGATGCTATCGGCATTCAGAGTTTTGTTTCTAGCTGGGGAGGCAAAGCAAGAGTTGAAGTTGGCATTTGGAGTCTGAATAGATTCTGAATAAGAAACGCCAGGGGTGAAGGTCAATTTCAGGTAGTGAAAATTGTGAGCAATGCAGATTCAGAATGCAGTCCAGTTTTGTGGAGCATGGAGCATTTGAAAGTAGGAGGTAATGAGAAATAAGTCCAAGGGCAAGCTATGGGTCAGATCATGAGAAAGCCCTCTGTGCTAACTAAGCTCACCAAGTTGAAGCTTATGCTTTAGACCAGCATATCTCAGTGTGAGTTACACACCATCTACATCAGAATCACCTGAGGTAGTTGTGCATATGCAGGTCCCCGCCTCTTTATTCCTGATCTGAATCAAAGTCTGTGCCTGGGGCCTGGGAATCTGGCATTGGGAAGCCTTGCAAGTTTTTTGGGGCAGGAAGTGAGTGAGTGTGTTTTGTTCACCACTGTGAACTAGATAACAGTGCCTGACATTTATATTGACTGAATGAATGGATGAAAGAATTTTGTATAAAGGTGGTTTCGTGGGAGATGAGATCAGAGGCAAGAAGACCAATTGCAGTGGTTTTAAGATATTTTTATTTTATTGATTCTTTTTTTTTTGGAGAGAGAGAAAGAGAGAGACATTTAAAATTGACCCTGGTTAGAGAAGATACTGTGATAGCCATTGTCTGCTTAACCAGACTACGCCAGAATTTATTCTGAAGATTAAATATAAAATAGTACATTATATGAGAGGTAGTATTTTGTTGAGACAAATAGAATAATTTTCCATTTTTTAAAGTGATGTAACACATTTTGCATTAGGTGTCGCTTTTGTTTGTAATCTGAGAGCTTTCGTTTACATCAGAGGGTGTTGCTTGCAGCAGTTAATTAAAAAACAATTGTTAGGTAGAGGCCTATTTTAAGAAATCAATTTTAATATATGGCATCCATTTCATTTTGAAAACCAGAACCAATTTTTAAGAACTATTAAAATGAAAAATCTCTGGGGAAAAGATATTATCCTCATCTGTGTTCATTGTCTAAAATCTTTTTCTTACCTCAAATTTCTTTTCTTTCAAGGAAAAGTTGGCAGCATTCATGTACCATAGCTCATTATTTTTAGTGACTGTTGGTATTAAGTCTTTACTAATTTCAAAAATAGTGTAGGATACATTCTTATGGTAAAATATTTAATATAGAATGAAAATCCTTTATTTTCCCTGTCTCCACTGTCAGTTTAGGATGTCATCTTCCCAGTTCTCTCAAGGAATGTATGCGTACATATTATACACTCTAGAGGTCCAGTGCACGAAATCCATGCACAGAATGGGGGGTGTCCCTCAGCCCAGCCTGCACCCTCTCTAATCTGGGACCACTCAAGGGATGTCCCGCTGCTCGTTTAGACCAGATCCTGGTTGGATCGGGCCTAAATGGGCAGTCAGACATCTCCCTCACAATCCAGGACTGCTGGCTCCCAACTGCTCACTTGCCTGCCTTCCTCATTGCCCCTAACTGCTTCTGCTTGCCAGCCTGATCACCCCCTAACCACTCCCCTGCCAGCCTGATTGATGTCTAACTGCTCCCCTGCCAGCCTGATTGATGTCTAACTGCTCCCCTGCCAGTCTAGTCACTCCTGATTGCTCTCCCCTGCAGGTCTGATCCCCCCCAATTACTCTCCACTGCAGGCCTGAGTCCCCCGCAACTGCCCTTCTCTGCAGGCCTGCTCACCCTCAATTTCCCTCCTCTGCTGGCCTGGTCCCTCCCAACTGCCCTCTCTTGCTGGCCATCTAGTGGTGGCCATCTTGTGTACACATGGGGGCAGCCATCTTGTGTGTTGGAGTGATGGTCAATCTGCATATTATTCTTTTATTAGATAGGATAAGTTTTTGTTTTATACAATAGGATTCATTTACAATGATTTTTTTTATACTAGTCAGTGATTTTTTTCTAAGTCCCTTCACATGGGTATACCTCATTCTTTTTCATGATTGCATGTTTCATATATAGTATGGATAAAATGTGTAAGTTATTTAATTATTCCTTACCTGTTAGTGGAATTTGGGGCTCTAACAAACATTTTTTAAAACTATTACAGATAGCTACAGTGAACATCCTTGTTTATGTTTGTGGACATAGGAAACATTTCTGTAGTATAGGTTTATAGAAGTTAAATTGCTTTGTCTAAGAGTTTATGGAAATATTTTAAGATTTTATATATGCTGGCCATTTTCTCCTTAGAGACTTAAAGTGACTCCTTTAGGATTGTAGAATCTCTACCTCATTTGAAAAGGATTACTGGGATACTGCTCTCTTTGTACTTTCAACATGTGCCAAGCTCTGTCCTGGGTGCAAGGTTAGAGGACAGAACCCTTGCATTCGATAAGTTCTCAACTTAAGGATACCACTTCTTGGTTTTAATACACCACTAGGACCTGTCTTTCTTCCCCATTACTAAGGATTTTTGCAACATACGGGCTGCTTTTTAGTATATATAAATTGTTTTATGTAAATGTTTTTATAATATTTATGATACTACTAATAAGCTTTCTGAGCTTTATATTGTATAAAGGTATGTATGAAGATGTTGTTTAGAGCAGCGATTTTCAACCTTTTTTATCTTATGACTCATAATCTAATTACTCAAAATCTGCGGCATACCAACAATATATTTTTTACTAATCTGACAAAAAAAAAAATAGGTATAATTTTGATTCATTTACACCTGACGGTTACTGTTGTCATTTTTTATTTGACATTCTAAGGGAAAAGAGGTCAGTGCCCTTATTAAATAGTCAAATATTGCACGTTTTAAAAATTCTTGCAGTACATTGGTTGAAAATCGCTGGTTTAGAGGTATATTGTAAAAAGACATTTAAAGGCCATTTTTTTTTTTTCTTTTAATATAGGAATGGGTTGGACAGGTGGAAATAAGTGCCCTTTCTCTTATGTACAGGTAAACACTAATAACATAATTAAACAAAAGTAAAGTTAGTGTAAAATTAATATATTACATTATACTAAAATTGTGAAAATAGTGATTTTATATCTTGGTTGTGAAGCATCTTTTCTAAGTTTTTTTTATTGTATGAATTAGATTTTGACATTTAGATATATCAATGTTTAGAAATTTTAATTTTCAAGATATTTTTGGAAAGGAGTACAGAAAATTTTACAGACCTCTAAACGTTACCATTTATCAACCTTATAGAGAAATGATTTCTTGCTTTCTCACGGCCAGTAACACTGAAGGGCCGTTAGAACAGAGGCAAAACACCTCTGTCAATTACCAATTTTACTACTATTGCCTAGTAGAGGAGCAGGTGAATGCTTTATATTTTCTTTTCAAAATGTCTTTGTACATTTCTTCTTCTCAACTTCTGTATTTGAGGTTTCCTTTAAGAATTTTATACGAAGTCAGACATATACAAGCTATATTTGAAATTTTTTTTTTTTTAGAAGATGCTTTTATATAGGTATTTTACAACTTAGTATTCCATTACTATCTTACGTTTACTGCTATATCTTCAGTGTCTACACAAACCATCAGAAGTAATTTCTAAAAATGTTACTTTCAGGAAAGATTTTGTAATTTATCGGGAACCAAATGTTTCTCCTTCACAAGTAACTGAAAATAATTTTCCTGAAAAGGTAAGAATTTTTTCAATGTTTTTAAAAGCTTTAAGTGAAAGAACTATTCAGTTGCCACCTTGACCTCCTAAGCTATAATTTTAAGGTGGTTTTGGAAATATTTGTGCCTGAAGGCTAATACTGAGTTATATAGTGTAGCTCCTGTTAATCATCATTGAGCCATATTACTTTGTATTAGTTTTTCCTGACAAGTCACCATGTTGAACCCTATCACTAGAGGAAAAAAGTTGAGATACTAGTGTTTATGAACATTAAATAGTAAAATAACTTGTAAAAATAGGTTCTTCCATTACATCCAAAAATACTTTGGTAATCATATTTCCCATTATAAAGATAAGTTGCTGACTAAGTTGTTATCTGTTCAAAGCAGAAACAATTGGAAAAATGTATACTCTAGAAGGAAAAAAATCACAGCTGATTCATTATAAGGATACTTTGTTTTAATTAATTGTTTTGGAGCCATCCAGGCCAAGTAGAAGTATCTTTGTCACTATCCTAATGGTGGTAAGGGGGAGGGATATTGAGTGAAATACTACCTTACTAAGGACTTAGAGGTTCCTAACATGCTTGTCTCTGGATCTGGCCTTTTGCAATACACTTAATGGAATATGACATACGTAGTCTAAATAAAATAAGTGTGCATTTCTCTTTGAATAAGTAATTAACTATTTAGGAATACAGTTGATTCTTTTAAAAATATATTTTATTGATTTTGTACAGAGAGGAAGGGAGAGAGATAGAGAGTTAGAAACATCGATGAGAGAGAGCCATCGATCAGCTGCCTCTTGCACACCCCCTACTGGGGATATGCCCGCAGCCAAGGTACACGCCCTTGACCGGAATCGAACCTGGGTCCCTTCAGTCCTCAAGCCGATGCTCTATCCATTGAGCCAAACTGGTTTCGGCAATACAGTTGATTTTTTAACAACATGAGTTTGAACTACATAGGTCCACTTACATGTGGATTTTTTTCAATGAATATATAGTTTGTCTTCTGTATCTCAAAGTGTCCGGATTCAATCAACAGCAGATTGAAAACAGTATTTTCCGATTTGAGGTTAGAAGTTGGGAATCTGCAGATGGGGAAGGCCAATTATATGCATTGTTCTACACCATTTGATATAAGGGACTTGACTATTCGTGGATTTTGGTATTGGGGTTTGTGTGTCCTGGAACCAGTACCCTGCAGATACCTAGGGAGGACTGTAGATAAGTTTTGGGGGATTCGAAAGTTATATTTAGATTTTCGAATGCGAAGGAGTTGGCACCTCTAACCCCCACATTGGCCAAGGGTTAACTGTATTTAACTGTTAGGAGAAGAAAAATGTTATTTTTGATTCTGCCTCTTAGAGGTAAGTATTAATAACATTTTGGAATATTTTCTTATGGTCTCTTACATCTTGTTTCTTTAGTAGCTGAAATCATACGGTTTTTAAAATATATATATATGTATTTTTATTGATTTCAGAGAGTAAGGGAGAGAGAGAGAGAGAAACGTCAATGATGAGATAGAATCATTGATTGGCTGCCTTCTATACCCCCCCTACTGGGACCCTTCTATTTAGGAAATATAGTTGATTTTTTAATAGAAAAATCAGGCGGATGTTCTATCCACTGAGCAAAACCAGGTAGGGCAAGGTATTTATTTTTTATCCATAAGCATTCCCCAAGTCATTAAGAACTTTTTGATTTAATAGCTGTGTAACATTTCAGCATGTAGATATACCATAGTTGACTACTTTGGAGCTTTAGATTGCTTCTAAAATACTCATTTTCTGTTTGAAAATTATTTACTAGTGATTGAGAAATATTGGAGATAGTAAGTTGCTAAGTAAATATCAAATAAGAAGTACTGAAAAGTGTCTTTTATTTTTTCCTTTCAGGTTTTACTGTGTTTTTCGAATGGAAATCACTATGATATTGTCTATCCCATAAAATATAAAGAGAGCTCTGCTATGTGTCAGTGTAAGTTTCACCCTTGTGTATGTATAGGAAATTATATTCCTAAGATATACAGTCTTAATGCACAAAAGTCAGGGCACATACACTCTGTTTTGTTGTATAAAATGATATTTCTAGAAACCTTAGGTTACCAAAAATATTAATACTGTATTAAAAAAAAGATCTAGTAGCTAGAGTTTAATTTATAAATGCAACATTATGTTTTGCGGTAAATAAGTTCAATAATAAGGTTTTGTATGTATTTTAAAAGCTGATAGTATATAGCTTGAAAATTTAAATGGCCGAACAAATCAAACATTTGATTATATTTGGCTCTAGAGCAGGGTTTCTCAACCTTGGCACTATTGACATTTTGGACCAGATGATTCTTGTTGTGGAGGCTGTTCTGTACATTGTAGGATGTTTAGTAGTAAACCTAGGATCTGCTATATAGATCTTTCTCCCATTGTAACAACCAAAAATGTCACTAGATTTTGTCACATATTTCCTGGAAGGGTACAGTTCCATCCCAATTGAGAATTACTGCTCTATTAGTTCCTTCCTTTGTCTGTACTAAATGCACATCACTTGTACTAAACAGTGGTGCTGGGCATGCAACAGCTTTTCCTCTTTTTTAAAAAAATGCTCACATGAGGTTGAGAAAGTGAAAGGGAAGGTAGAAGAGACAGAGAAACACTTATATGAAAAAAACACATTGATTGGTTGCCTCCCTGACTTGGTATCAAAGCTGCAACCCAGGTACATGCCCTTGACTGGGAATCGAACCATAGTTCACTCATAGGTTTATAGGTTGATGCTCAATCCCTGAGCCACTTTGGCTGGGCTGAGAATACATTTTTTTTTTTTTTAAATCAATCTTTATTGTTCATATTATTACAAAGGTTCCTCATTTCTTCCCCCTTCCACCAGGTTCTCACCCCACCCTCCACCCCCTTCCCCTCCCCCATTGTCCTCATCCGTAGGTGCACAGTTTATGTTCAGTCTCTTCCTCCCTCCCTTTCCCCGATAGTAAATCCCTTTTCAGATAGTAAATCAGTTACTTAGCATTTTCTCATATCGATAATACCTCCACATGACCAAAGATACACTTAACACAAAAGACATTTCCAAATAGGTCAACCAACCTCATCCAGGCTCCGCACAAGGCACTCACAGATCAACACCCCAGCGCTATACTAACTCAACATATCCAGATCTAAGCCTTCATCACTTGATTCAGCAGACCCTCAAGTTCCCGCAAAAGTTTCCAGCCATCTCTGAGAGGCATCCTTGGGGCGGGGGTAGGCGAGGAGCGAGCTGTTCCGGGCCTGGCTGCTCCGGGCCTGGCCTCCGTTGCTCTGTTCGTTCCACAGCCAGCTGCTCCAGGTCTGGCCACTGCCGCTCCCAACCTGGTTGCTCCGGGCTTGGCTGCTGCTGTTCTGGGCCTGGCCACACCCAACCCGGCTGCTCTGGGCCCGGCCACTCTGGGCCTGGCTGCTCCCAGCCTGGCAGCACTGCTCCAGGCCTGGCCACACCCGACCCGGCTGCTCCGGGCCTGGCCGCTTCCAGCCTGGCTGCTGCTGCTCTGGGCCTGGCCGCACCTGACCCGGCTGCTCCGTGCCTGGCCGCTCCCAGCCTGGCAGATGCTGCTCCGGGCCTGGCCGCACCCGACCCGGCTGCTCTGGGCTTGGCTGATCAGGGCCCGGCCGCTCTGGGTCTTGCCGCTCTGGGCCTGGGCGCTCCCAGCCTGGCAGCTGCTGCTCCGGGCCTGGCCGCTCCCAGCCTTGCAGCTGCTGCTCCGGGCCTGGTCGCACACGACCCGGCTGCTCTGGGCCCGGCTGCTCCCAGCCTAGCTGCTGCTGCTCCGGGTTTGGCTGCACCCGACCCGGCTGCTCTGGGCCCGGCTGCTCCCAGCCTGGCTGCTGCTGCTCCGGGTTTGGCTGCACCCGACCCGGCTGCTCTGGGCCCTGCTGCTCCCAGCCTGGCAGCTGCTGCTCCGGGCCTGGCTGCACCCGACCCGGCTGCTCTGGGCCCGGCCGCTCCTGGCCTGGCTGCTCCCAGCCTGGCAGCCCCTGCTCCGGGCCTAGCCGCACCCGACCCGGCTGCTCTAGGCCCGGCTATTCCGGGCCCGGCTGCTCCGGGCCTGGCCGCTCCCAGACTGGTAGATGCTGCTCCGGGCCTGGCTGCTCCCAGCCTGGCAGCTGCTGCTCTGGGCCTGGCCGCACCCGACCCGTGAGAATATATTTTATAACACTTTCTTTTTATTCTTTTATAGAAAATTATCTTCTTCATAGCAGTCTTTTTTTTTAAAAAATTGTTTTGTTGTTTCGTTTATTAATCTTCACCTGAGGATATTTTTCTGTTGATTTTTAGAGAGAGTAGAAGAAAGGGGGAGACACAGAGAAACATTGGATGTCAGAGACACATCAATTGGTTGCCTCCCGCACACTCCCTGCTCCTGGCCGGGAGCCAGGGTTTGAGCCTGCAACCCCGGTACATACATGCCCTTGACCGGAATCAAACTTGGGAGGGATCCTACAGTTTGTGGGCCAACACTGTATCCACTGATCCAAACTGGTTAGGGCAAGCAGTCTTAATGTTTCTTAAAGTTTTCTATCCAAGTCTCTTAAGATTGGGCAGGTTGTATGCTACTTATAATTCTCAGTTTTCTCATCTGTACAGAATAATTATACCACTGTGCTGGGATTAAATATAGAGATAATGTAAAGGCTTACCACATGGAGTGTAATAATTGCTCAATATGCATGTTTACTTATTGTCATCATACTTGTTTCAGAGCTGTGATATTTTTTTGTGTTGATATTTTTAAAAAAATGGCAGATATCTTAATGTAATGGTTTTAAACTGATTTACACACAAATTCTGGTTGCTCTCCATGTCGGCAACTTTCTGATTAAATTTGACCATAGATGTTGCAGGTGTCTAGTTAAGATATTAGAAGCCTGGGCAATAGATACTCACTTTTATATTAGAACATAAAATTAGTTAATATTTCATAACATCTCTCTTGTTAATTGCAGCTCTCCTTTATGAATTACTGTATGAGAAGGTATTTAAAACTGATGTTAGTAAAATTTTGATGGGACTCAACACTGCTGACGTAGCTGGTGAAAGCCACAGTGAAATATCAGATTCAGAGGATGATAGTTGCAGGTAAGAATAAATTCTAAGATATCTTTATAGTGCTGTACAAAGAAACAGTTCAGTAAGTGATTCTGCAAGGAGTTACCTGACACTGAAATATTATGGTATTCCTAAAATATAGCAATCCGCAATAGAAGGTTCTTTATCTCTGCCACTAATTTTACTTCATAAAGCTTATATTTTGGTTAGAAAGCATCTAATTCTATGTAATCTGGATGTGTATATGTGGAATAGATTTGGTCTACTATATTTGTCACATTATAAAATTTTAAGGTTAACATTCAATTGTTTGCGTATTCAGTGCTAAAAAAATGGCCATTTTGATTTCCTTGACTTCCTTTATTTTTTTAAATAATGCCACCTTTTTTTCTTTTTTAGATAATAAAAATTCCAAATTAGGGTTATAGTGTGGGAACAGCTCTGGATAATGCCTTTGTTTAGGTTGTGAATAAGAACCTTTTAACTCCGAGTCTAGGATATTCCCTCTCATCCCCTACCCCCACACAGGACATGTAAACTGGTGGACGAGAGCATGGGCTGTAGACTTCCAAACCTTGTTTCAATACTGACTTCCTGCCAACTTACTATACTTGGGGCAAGTTACTTAAATTCACTTAAGAAGCCTCAATTCTGCATCTGTAAAATGAGATATATTAGTGGTTTCTCAAAGGGCAGAATCCTCCTATATAATAAAGGCTTAATATGCAAATAGACCAAATGACAGAACGACCAGTCGCTATGATGCTCACTGACCACGAGGGGGCAGATGCTCAATGCAGGCCCCAGGCCAGTCAAGACAGGTGCCAGTGGGAGGCCCCAATTGCCCATTGGTTGCCCCATAGATCGGGCAGGCCTAGGGATTCTACCTATACATGAATTTCATGCATCAGGCCTCCAGTTTATAGTAATTAAATGAAATAACATATAAAGTGTATAAGCTAGTTCCTAGATAAAGTGTCCAACATATTAGTTTTTATCAATAATATTTAAAAAATACTAGAGTCCCAGTTCGTGCAATTCATGCATAGGTAATGTCTCTAGGTCAAGCTGGTGATCAGGGCCCATCTGTGGGATGATAGGCGGGAGGGGGGATCGGGGTCCCTGCTGGCACCCACCTTGGCTGGTGGCCTGGTGCCGCCCAGGTGGCAGCTCCTGTGTTGAGCATCTGCCCACTGGTGGTCTGTGCATGTCGTAGTGACAGGTTGTTCCGCTGTTAGGTTGATTTGCATATTAGGGTTTTATTATATAGGATATGATATTTTATAGCAATTAATCATATTCCATTCCTAATGAAGTTAAACTATATTATGGCTGTTGTATCTTAAATAGGAAAGTATCCTACTTGGTGTTACATACTATGAAACTAGAGAAAGAAATGAAATTGTTATCTTAATTCTTTATTAAATAGTACTTAAATATATCTTCATTTGTAGTTTTAGGCATTTCTTTCTTTTTTTTTTTTTAAAAAAATATATTTTATTGATTTTTGTACAGAGAGGAAGGGAGAGAGATAGAGAGCCAGAAACATCGATGAGAGAGTGTCATCGATCATCTGCCTCTTGCACACCCCCTAATGGGAATATGCCCGCAACCAAGGTACATGCCCTTGACCGGAATCGAACCCAGGACCCTTCAGTCCCCAAGCCGACGCTCTATCCATTGAGCCAAACCGGTCCCGGCTAGGCATTTCTTAAATTAAGTTTTCCTGATCCTGTTTGAAAAATTATCTACCATTTGTTTATAAGAAAGAAATGAATCAGTTAGGTTAGAATCTGGATCTATTATAAGTTTAATGCTAGAATGGACTAACTTTGCCCATGTAAAATTTTTGATCCATGGTTTTCTCTAGCACCTCTCTGATTAAGATATGTCATTGAACATAGTAGAAAGTTAATTAGGGAAGGTGTGCTCATTATAATGCTGTTTTTCTTTTTATATTTTACTATTGTAGCCCTTGGAACATGGGAGCCTTTCTCGTTAACTTTTTGCATTATTATAGATTTCTTGTGTCATATTTGGCTTAGGGAAGACAAGGCTTCAAGCAGGGAAGAGTCCTACACAACCATGGTACGATAGGTAGGCATAATGTGACAGCAAGGAGGAAAGACTAGGGATGTTGTTTACTCTCGTGCCTGGATTCTTTTCACGTTCACATTGGCCAGTGCTGAAGTACTGGAAATTATGGGTGCTTTCTTTTAAATCTAGACACTAGCTACTTGGAGTCTCTTAAAGATTGTTGCATTTAAGGGTGTAGACTTGGGAAATTGTCCTGAAGACTAGAAATTGATTGATTAAGAAGTGTAGGACAGAAGAATATAGATGGCTCCTCACCTCATCTCCCACTCTGTTTGCCATCCCTCTGTTCCAGCCTTGCCAGCCTCTTGTCCACACCAGGATCTTTGCACCTGATTTGTTTTTTTCTGCTGGAATACTGAGTAGCCATATGGTTTGCTATCTCATCACCTTTAATTACTTATTCAAAAAGACATCTCAACAAGTTCTTTCCTCATCCTACTTTTTATTATTTAAGCCTATGGCTCAACACTATGATTTTTTCCTAACACCCCCAATAGCACTTTTTAGCATTAGCATACTGAATATGGTTTGCATTCATTATCACTAGATTGTACGTCTTTTTGTAGTGGAATATTTTGTTTAATGGATCATCTGTGTATTTAAAGGAAAAATTTTTACATTGAATGTTTTATAAACCCAATTATTCTACTTATCTGAATTTCAGTTTGTTTGTTTTATTGAGCAGTAAGAATTACTGCTAAAAGTTTTTGACTTAATATTTTATAAGTCACACACACACACACACACACACACACACACACACACACACACACACTCTTTATTGTTTATATATTTTTAAATCTTCACCCAAGGACTTGTTCATTGATTTTTAGAGAGAGTGGGAGAGAAGGGGAGAGACAGAGAGAAACATCCGTGTGAGAGAGACAAATAAATAGGTTGGTTGCCTTCCGCATGTGTCCTGACCAAGGCCAGGGTTCAAGTCTGACCTGAGGTGCATGCTCTTGCCTGGAATTGAACCCAGAACCCTTTAGTCCAGCGGCTGCCAATCAGTGGTCCACGGAGGGCTGTGAGATCCGAGAGGTTGGCGACCATTACTTTAGTCCACAGGCTGATGCTCTATCCACTGAGCCAAACTGATTAGGGCTATTTGCACAGTTTATTGAAATTTGTAAGGGCTCATTGGAATATAGCTTTGACTTTGTGGAATATAACACTGGCTTCTGATATTTTTATGTGAAGTTAGAAGAAATTAATTGCATGTGAACACATATTGTACTAACTATAGTTATGTTTTTTTGCCCTTTATAGGAGAAAAACTACCACTGCTAATGATGTAAATGGATTTAAAGCTCTGTCAAGTGATCAGGTATTTTTTCTAAAGGTTTTGTTCTTTAATATAAGAGCTTATGAAAGTATAGTCTTAATTTTTTTCTCTTTCTGGTACATTTTCAGTAGAGTCAGGCACATCTAGTAAATTTTTCAGCAACTTAGTAATTTTGGAAGTTTTCTTTTGATTTTTTTTCTTATACATAGGTCAAACAAAGTTGTTTTATTTTTTTAATCCTGACTTTGTTTATTTAGCACCTGAAAAACAATGGGAACTCCCAAAGCCTTCCTTTGTCTAGAAAGGTTCTTAAGTCACTCAATCCAGCAGTTTATAGAAATGTGGAATATGAAATTTGGCTCAAATCTAAACAAGGTGAGTTTAAAAATATGCATTTTCCATGAATTTATTTTGTGGCACTTAAAAATAATTAAGTCAACTTGATATTCTTTTGATATTATTTACAGCTCAACAGAAACGTGATTATTCCATTGCTGCTGGCTTACAGTATGAAGTTGGGGATAAATGCCAAGTAAGTGATTATATAGAAGAAAAGTCTTACCTGAAATCTTATAATAATAGGAACTGAGTAAACATAAGTTTGAATGTGTTGTTAATTTGGAATTTTAGAATATACTTTTTTATGTCTACATTTTCATGGTTTTAAATACTTAGCATTTTTATTCATTTGAATACATTACCAAAATTGTATGTATCTAAAACCATGGTACCCTGTCACATGATCTTTAAAAAAATAATCTAATTTTTGATATTGCTTGCTTTGAAGAAGTAATAGTATTTTAGATTTTTAGATATTTTCATTACAGTTAGCAAATATTTTATAATTGGTTCAAGCTTGATATTATAGGTCATTTGTTTTGCTTATAAAAGTTAATTTGGAAGATTGAGAAGTACATAATGTTTTTTTGTTTGTTTTTTAAAAAAGAGCTGAAACTGGTTTGGCTCAGTGGATAGTGTCAGCCTGCAGACTGAAAGGTCTCAGGTTCAATTCTGGTCAAGGGCAGGTACCTTGGGAGCACATCCCCAGCAGGGGGTGTGCAAGAGGCAGCTGATCGATGATTCTCTCTTGTTGATGTTTCTAACTCTCTATCCCTCTCTCTTCCTCCCTATAAAAAATAAATAAAATATATTTTAGAAAAATAAAAAATAATAAAGAAGATATATCTTTTTATTGATTTCAAAGAGGAAGGGAGTGGGGGAGAGAGAAACGTCAATGATGAGAGAGGATCATTGATTGGCTGCCTCCTGCATGCCCCACTCTGGGGAGATTGAGCCTGCAACCCAGGCATTTACCATCACTGGGAATTGAACCATGACTTCCTGGTTTATAGGTTGATGCTGAACCACTGAGCCAAGCCATCCAAGTGGTGTATAATGTTTTCTGTTGAATTAAGAAAGGAAAGTAGACTGATAATAAGAGATTTTCATTTACTTTGAATAAACTACTGTTCTGGACTTAAGTAGCTGATTTTTAAAGGGGAAAGTTGGGGATTAGATCAGTGTTTATTTTTTCTTAATCCTTACCCAAGATATTTTCCCTCTTGCTCTTCAAAGAGAGAGTAGAAGGGAGGAAGAGGAGGAGGAGGAGAGAGAGAGAGATATCAATGAGAAAGACACATCGATTGCTTCCCAAATGCTCCCTGACTGGGGATGGGGAGCGAACCTGCAACCCAGGTACATGCCCTTGACTGAGAATTGAATCCGAGACCCTTTGGTATGCAGGGCTATGCTCTAACCACTGAGTAACACTGGCAAGGACACATCAGTGTTTCTTAGTTTGGAGTGATTTTGTATCCCCTCACTCCCTGCTGAGCAATGGCTGCAAACATTTTTTTGTTTTCTAACTGGGAAGGTAGTACTCACATCTAGTGGATAAAGGCCAGGGATGCTACCAAATATTCTACAGTGTACAGGACACCCTTTCCCACTCCCCATGACAAGGAATTATTGGGTCCAAAGTGTCAAAAATGCCAAGGCTAGAGAAATTCTGGAAAAGGTAATTTCCAAAGGTCCCTTTTCTATTGTTTATGATAAAAATTGACTATTTCCAAAATAAAAGCAATTCACATACACAAAAATTAGTTGGAAGATATTTTTCATCAAAATGGCTTCCATCAAAAAATGTTGCCTTTTGCCCTGGCCAGGTGGCACAGTTGGTTGGAGCGCCATCCTGTACACCAAAACGTTTGGGTTTGATTCCTGGTCAGTTCACATACCTAGTTTGTGGGTTTGATCTCTGGTGGGGCATGTATGAGAGTCAACAATCAATGTTTCTCTCTCACACTGATGTTTCTCCCTCCCTCCCTTTCTCCCTTCTTCTCTCCCTTTCTCCCACTCTTTCTCCCTCCCTCCTTTTCCCACCTCCTTGTTTTCTTTCTCTGAAATCAATAAAAACATATCTTAAGGTGAGGATTAAAAGGAAAAAAGTGTTGCCTTTTCAAAACTACCTTACAGTAGCCATTTACAAAAAATTCTTTTTGACTTGGAGGGAAACACTCATTTCCTTTGTTATTAAGTGGTTTGTGAAAAGTATCTGATTGACCAGGATTGTGTCTGTGTACATTTGAGCACTTTTCATAGTGTTCTGGTTCTGGGATATTTGAAAGGAAAGGAAGAAGAGGATGTAATTCATTTAGATTCTTCCTTATGAGATTTTAAAATTGTGCTCTAATTATACAACAGAATTGTGGGGTATTTGAAGGGAACAAAGAGAAGAATAAAACCTAGGCTTAGGGTTCCCCTCCTTCCCTATCCCTCAACAGAGAAGAGAAGATTGCTTGTCTTACGCTGCATCACTAAAGTTTAGTTACTCATTATTTTAAATCAAGCATTATCTTCTTTGAAGTTGCAGTTGCTTTTGTCATTAATAAAGTAGTTCATAAAGCAGATACTTGTTTTAATTTTTTCTGTTTTAGAATATTTTGTTTCTAATTCTACTACTTAACTTTCACTTGAAACTTTATTGTGTAAACTGCTAGGAGTCAAAGATGACTTGTTTACTCATGCATGTAAAATACAGTTTTAACTTTTGGTAAAAAACTTCAGAAAAATCTTTTTGTTAAACTCAAAGAGAGGAAGGCAAACTGTCCGATTTTGGTTTGTGAAGAATGAAACCTCAACTCGAGGACTCTGTCTACTAATAAAAGTACGACAGTACCCAAAGCCATGCAACATGGATGGGCTCTTAGTGCTCTTGGTGTAGTTCATTGTGCATTGACTATAGAAATACCTAAAGGCTTACTTTCCTGTCACAGTTTACTCTTGGAAAATACCAGTAGTATGTTAGAGAAGAGATAACGGATCTATTTTCAGGGAGGAGAAAGGTCACGGTTACACACAGTAATTATAATATAATAATACTGTCACGTCCTTCACGTATGTGATACATACCTCATTCCATCTCCATCAGTCCTATGACTTTGGTACTATTATTAGCCTTATTTTGCATATGACACTGGAGTATGAGAAGTAACTTGCCCAAGGTCATATTGCCAGTAAGTAGAAATGCCAGGCCTGGAATCCTGGTTGTGTTGTGCCACAATCCTACTTCAGGACCAGGACAAGATACTTCTCTTGTTAGGAGCCTTAATAGATGGTGCTACTACTATTTGAACTATTAAGGAAATAATTTAGAACGATTTTGGAAGGATAAACACAAAAGCATTTTAGGAGAGGTACGTAAGTCTGGGAGGTCAGAGAAACAGATATTGTATACTGTTTTGAAATTAGTTTTGTGTTTAACAATAATACTTTTCATTTTCTCTTTAATTGGAAACGAAATAAATTTTAAAAACTGATCATTAATGCAAGTAAGCAGGTGACTGATCTTCTTGGAATTGTTCAGCAGGTTAGGTTGGATCACAATGGAAAATTTTCTAATGCAGACCTTCAAGGGGTTCATTCTGAGAACGGACCAGTTTTGGTTGAAGAAGTTGGAAGGAAGTATGTACTGCTCTTCAAATAAGGCATTTACTGTCTTTTCCACTTGCGTAATGTAATCACGGGCATTTCAAAATGGCTTTGTGTATTTGTAAATTCACTTAAAGGTGTTGCCTATGAGTAGAAATATTTGTTTAGAGCTTTTGAAAAATAGTTTAAATTCAATGTTTTGCATGATATAGTTTAAAATAAAAACTAATTTTGTCGGTAACTGTTTAAAATGTGCCATTCTTCACAAAGGCATTTTGGGAAATTGACTATATTACAACTATAAAGTGCGAGCTTTGGAGGACAGGGACCATATCCATTCCTAATGTTATTTGGTACTGCATTGATTGTAATTAATTTTAAATAAATGTCAGATAGAGTAAAATTTTATGGTAGATTTACAGTGTTATTTTAGAATACCTTTTATTTTAGTTGCTGCTGCCCTTACTAGAGATAAAGCTAGTAAGTCACACCTAAACTGTACTATGGAAAATTTCAATCACCCATAAATGTCAGGAGCATAGTGCAGAAAACCCTAATATACCACCATTCTGGTTCATCAGTTAACCGCATTTAGCAACCTTTTCTAATATATCCTCCCTAACCTTTTTTATAAATGGAGTTGGAATAATTTAAAAAATCCGGACATTATACCATTTCTCATAGACATGTAGGTGCTTTTATATGTGTCTAGCAGAGTAAGGGCTTCTGCCTCTCCCCACCTGAATGACAGTACCATTTTCACATCTAACGAATAGCAATCATTCCTCGTATCTTTTGCTTTGATTGTGATTTAAGGCCATTTAGTCTTCTGGTATTTTTGGGTTTGAAAACACACTTTTGATTTAAGTTATCTTTTATTTATTAGAATTATATCTGGGTTGCTAAATGGCTTTGTTTGTACTTCATTTTTAATATAAGGACAAAAGCTGGAAATTCTTACATAAGTTATAAATAAAATTGCTCTGCTGAATATTTAAGTAGATATCATTGCTATGAGCACTTTAACTTATTACATGTCTTTTCCTTCCTTTTGAAGGCACTCACCGAAGACCCTCAAACCACCTCCCCCGGAAAGCTGGAACACAGTGTCAGGGAAGAAGATGAAAAAACCTTCCCCTTCTGGACAAAATTCCCATTCTGGTAAGAGCACATCAAGTTATTCTTTTTTGGGGGGAGGGGTAAAGATCCATGGCATTGTTGATAATAGGAAATTATGGGGTACTTTTGGATTCTTGTCACAGATACAGATTACAGAGGGCCAAAGAATTCAAGCAAGCCAGTAAAAGCTCCATCAGCACTACCTCCTCGACTTCAGCACCCTTCAGGAGTAAGACAGCATGCAGTCTCTAGTCATTCTGCCGGGTCACCGTCTCAGAAACCCTCCAGTGAGCACAAGAATCTTAGCAGGACACCCTCACAGATCATAAGGTAAGGGAGGGGCATTTCTTTTATTTGCCACATTTCATGCTTTTAATTACAGAATAATATTAAAAGTATCGTTGATAAAATACTATGTGAGGATTTCAGTTCTTCATAGTTCCCTTTAAAGAAATAAAAGTAACTGCAGAGTATGTCATCTTTATTTTATTTATTTATTTATTTATTTATTTATTTTTATTGTCTAAAGTTTTACATGTCTCCCTTTCCCCCAGTTAACTCCCCCTCACCCATCCCCCTGCCATTCCCACCCAGGCAAGCCCCCACTGCCCCAGTGTCTGTGTCCATTGGTTATGCTAATATTCATGCATACAAGTCCTTTGGTTGCTCTCTAACACCCTTCCCCCCTACTATTAATATTTATCTCTGGATCTATTATTGTTCATCAAATTATGTTGATCATTATATCCCACACGAGTTAGATCATGTGATATTTATCTTTCTTCAGTTGTGTTTATTTCGCTTAACAAAATGCTCTCTAGTTCCATCCATGTTGTTGCAAATGGCAAAAGTTCCTTCTTCTTTTATAATGGCATAGTATTCCATGTGTAGATGTACCAGTTTTTTAATATACTCATCTACTGATGGGCACTTAGGCTGTTTCCAAATCTTAGCTGTGGTAAATTGTGCTGCTATGAACATACGGCTGCATATATCCTTTCTGATTGGCGTTTCTGATGTCTTGGGATATATTCCTAGAAGTGGGATTACTGGGTTAAATGGGAGTTCCATTTTTAACTTTTTGAGGAAACTCCATACTGTTTTCCACAGCAGCTGCACCAGTCTGCATTCCTACCAAAGTGCACAATTAATATTTGATAAAGGAGGCAAGAGCATACAATGGAGTCAAGGCAGTCTCTTCAATAAATGGTGCTGGGAAGTTTGGTCAAGATACATGCAAAAAAATTGAAACGAGATCACCAACTTACACCATCAAAAACAAACTCAAAATGGCTGAAAGACTTAAATGTATGACAGGAAATCATGAAAGTCCTACAAGAATCCATAGGCAGCAAAACAGCAGACATATGTCAGTAATATCTTTACAGACATAGATCCACATCCTCCCCAGCACTTATTATTTGTTGATTTGTTGATGATAGCCATTCTGACAGGTATGAGAGGGTATCTTTTTTTTTTTGTTTGTTTGTTTGTTTTTATATATTATTGAGTTTTTACAGAGAGGAAGAGAGAGGGATAGAGAGTTAGAAACATCGATGAGAGGGAAACATCCATCAGCTGCCTTTTGCACACTCCCTACTGGGGATGTGTCCGCAACCAAGTTACATGCCCTTGAGTGGAATTGAACCTGGGAGCAAACTGGTTTCGGCGGTATCTTGTTGTGGTTTGCAACTCTCGGATGATTAGTGACTATGAGCATGTTTTCATATGTCTCTGGGCCTTCTGTATGTCCTCTTTCGAAAAGTGTCTATTTATATCCTTTGCCCATTTTTCGATTGGATCGTTTATCTTCCTTTTGTTAAGTTATATGAGTTCTCTGTAAATTTTGGAGATTAAACTTGTATCTGAAATAGTGTTTGTAAATATGTTCTTCCATGCAGTGGGCTTTCTTGTTGTTCTGCTGATGGTTTCTTTAGTTGTGAAGAAGCTTTTTATTTTGTTTATTTTCTCCTTAGTCTCCATTGCCTTAGGATCTATGTCTGTAAAGATATTACTGACATATGTCTGCTGTTTTGCTGCCTATGGATTCTTGTAGGACTTTCATGATTTCCTGTCATACATTTAAGTCTTTCAGCCATTTTGAGTTTGTTTTTGATGGTGTAAGTTGGTGATCTGGTTTCAATTTTTTTGCATGTATCTTGACCAAACTTCCCAGCACCATTTATTGAAGAGACTGCCTTGACTCCATTGTATGCTCTTGCCTCCTTTATCAAATATTAATTGAGCATAATGGCTTAGGTTGATTTCTGCATTCTCTGTTCTGTTCTATTGGTCTATATGTCTGTTATTTTCTTTTTTCTATCTCTCCCTATTATAAGTTTGTCTTCTTGATTCTGTTATGTAGCGTGCATGATGCTATAGGAGATTACGTTTGGTAAACATTTATTCAGGTTGCCGAAAGTTCTATAGTCACTGTGTAGTTAAATTAAATATTTATACTGACAAAATAGGTTTATTTTAGGTAGTCAATACACTTATCTTTTTTTCGTGACAATGTTTTATTTAACAGAAAACCTGATCGTGAGAGAGTTGAGGATTTTGAGCACGCCAGTCGAGAATCTAATTATTTTGGCCTCTCCCCAGAAGAGCGCAGAGAGAAGCAAGCTATAGAAGAATCTCGATTACTTTATGAGATTCAAAACCGAGATGAACACGCTTTCCCAGCCCTTTCCGTATGTATAAAAAGAGATTTTAAAAGTTACTGGTTTGAAATCTCTCCTTAATAGAAGCAAACTCTTGAACGACATGTGTTTGAAATTTGGGGGTCAACTTATAATGCAGATTTTTTTTTCTCAATAACTACAGTTGGCTTTCTGAATTCCCCTTGTTTCCCATCAGCAGATTCAACTAATCACAGAATCTGTAGATATGGAAGACAAACTGTATGCATTCTTTTATGTCATTTTATAAAAGGGACTTGAGCTCATGGATTTTGTTATCTGTTTGGAATTCTGGTACAAATCCCCTATGAATATTGAGGGACACCTGTAGCTAAGTTTTTGGAGAGTTAAAAGCTATACATAGATTTTCGATTGCCTGGAACAGGTTGGCACCCCTAAACCTCATGTTGTTTAAGGGTCAACTGTAGTTTTTATATTAAACCATAACTTTATATTAAACCATAAGACTAATAATTTGTAAACTGAAGGGTACCTTGCCCTGGCTGGTGTGGCTCATTTGGTAGGAGCATCATCCATATACCAAAAGATGTGTTCCCATCAGGGCACATGCCTAGGTTGCTGATTTAGGTCCCTGGTCCTGGTTGGAGTGTGTGCAGGAGACAACTGATTGATTTTTCTCTCTCAAACATCAATGATGAAAGGGAATCATAAATTGGCTGCCTCCTGAATGCCTCCTACTGGGGATCGAGTCTGCAACCTGGCCATATGTCCTTTACGAGTATTGAACCTGGGACCCTACAGTCTACAGGCCAAGGCTCTATCGCCTGAGCCAAACCAGCTAGGGCTCTTTAGGTTTCTTAATTATTTTGGTGGAGTCAGAAGGGAAAACAGTTCTCATATAGAGTGAAGTCATTGATCTGTGAAGGGGGTTCATTGACAGGATAGAGGAATGTGATTCAGTTTGGGGCACTGGAAGCCATGCAACTATGGCTTTGAAGTACTGGTAAGTGGTAGAAGGGACCTGTGATCCAGAATGTTTGTTGGACACTTTTTCTCAACAGTAGATGAAACAAAATGAAATGTTACAGAAGGCTTCCCAGTATATCAGTGTAAAACATTAATGTCCCTCACACTCAATTATCTGTCCACTGGCCTCTGTGGAATCTTTTAGAGGTGTGAGATGTTGGTTGAAAACAGCTCCTCTGAAATAATAGTTCAATCTGGAAAAGGGTTTGGAGCTTAGGGATTATTAGACATGGGTTGTGTGTTAAGTATATTTATCTTTATGTAACACTAGAGGCCCAGTGCACAAAATTTGTGCACTCGGAGGGGGGGGGTCCCTCAGCCTGGCCTACGCCCTCTCATATTTTGGGAGCCCTTAGGGGATGTTTGACTGGCAACTTAGGACCCACTCTCTGGGGAGCAGACCTAAGCCGGCAGTCAGACATCCATAGCACTGTTCCAGTGGCGGGAGAGGCTCCTGCCACTGCCACTGTGCTTGCCAGCTATGACTCCAGCTCAGCGGCACTCCCCCTGTGGGAGTGCACTGACCACCAGGGGGCAGCTCCTGCATTGAGCTTCTGCCCCCTCGTGGTCAGTGTGTGTCATAGCTACTGGTCATTCCACTGTTTGGTTGATTTGCATATTAACCTTTTATTATATAGGATATTATTTTCCCATAATAATTAGATTTTAAAACAGACACAAATCATTTAAGCTTGTACTCATAGTTTTTTGTTCTTTTTCAGTTAGTGAACGGTAAGACTATGACTACTGTAATGTAGGAATACAATGTGAAATATTTGATTGTCAGAATGGAGTCATACTCATCATTTTTAGATTACTAGTAGGCAGTTTGAATCCTGTCTTGTCTTCTAGAAAACTCCTAAGATCCCCTTCTCAGCTCTTAGTACCAGAACAGGAGAAGACCTTCAATGATAATTTAGCTTAAAAACCTGACTTATTCTAGTCCTTTTGTTACACCAATTAGAAAGTTAGATCTCATGCAGTGCTTACATCAATAGCATTTTAGTGAATAACAATCATAGTGCACTGTATCTGTTAATTTGCACTTGGGTATCTTTCCCCACAAAAGGACTGTGGCTCTACAATAGCTGTTTTTGAAGGTTGCTCTGAAGGGTGCTTGTTATTCTTTGTCCAAAGAATATAAATTGCAAGGTGAAAGTTTGGTCAGAGCAGCTTTCTCATATAAGGATATGAAGAAGTGTTAAAATAATTTAGGCCAAAGGTCTGTCTGATTGCATAACACTTAGACTTATTAATAAGCCTATAACTGTAGAGGACAAAATTAAATATGAATCTTAGGTCTTATTTTTGGAAGTATAAAGACATGACTATGAATTTTGAGATTTTTAATCAGATGTACAAAGAATATATTTATGGGTAAATCTTTAACACAAAGTGTTGGGTTTTGTTCATTTGAAGAGTTCATCAGTCAGTCAGTCATCTTCTCAGAGTAGCAATCCATGCATCCAGAGAAAATCATCATATGTGAGTGATAGAAAAGGAAGCAGGCGGAGAATGGATACCGAAGAACGAAAAGATAAAGGTATGTTATTTCATCATATGAAAGCATGTACTGGAGTTCTGTGTCTGATTTAAAGTCATTCATTAGAAAAAGAACTTTTAAAATCATTAAGCAATTTAATATCTTATATCTGTTGCTGACAGAAACTGGCTCAGGCTAACACTCATGTTAAATAACTGTCATTCAGAAAACTGTATTTTTACTGATTAAATTATGCAAATAGTTCTTTGGCTTTCTATATTTTTATAATGTATTTTTCTGTCTTCAAACCTATTGGCTGATGCTGTCCTTTTTTTAATCTTGATCTGTTACAGACTCTAGCCATGGACACACTCACCTGGATAAAAAACCTGGGCCAGGCATATCAGAGGTAAATGTTTTCAATACTAATTGCATCTTTTCGTTTTCCTTATAACACTGTGATAATAATATATCAGGAAAGAAGCAGTAGCATTTGATAACTGTTAGGGAAGTAGAAAGGTAGAGAAAAAATGGGGAGAAGATAGTAGTTCTTGAGGAGAATTCACTCACCATTGTAACCATTTCTTGGGTACAGTATGATGACCTATCTGAATTGATGGGAAGTAGCTTTTCCAATAATCTATAGTAGATTGAGATTAAAAAAAAAATCTCCACCTGAGTATATGTTCATTGATTTTAGAGAGAGGAAAGGAAAAAAACAGAAACATTGATGTGTGAGAGAAACATGGATTGGCTGCCACCTGTATGTGCCTGACCAGTAATCGAACCTGCAACCTTTTTGGTGCACAGGAGGACACTCCAACCGAGCCACCTGGCCAGGGCAATAGGTTGAGGTTTTTAAAGGAAAAGTGTGCTCTTTGAAACTTTGTCCCCAATAAAAATGTGCTAGTAGTTTGATATAAAGATGTGCAGGCAGTGTTACTCTCAGATGAAGACCAGATGTAATTGAAAAAAAGACCATTGAGAGGGTTCAATCATGTGGTAGGGTGAACAATAAAGGCAACCACTATGATCCTAGAATGTGGGTCTTTGAAATACAAAATTACATTTTTGGTGTTTTTGTTTGTTTTTTGCTTCTAAAGAATATTAATGATGATAAGTGTGCAAGAATTTTATCACCATCAAAGTCAAAGAAATTAGAATGCCCACCTCCTGCAGAACAAGTAAGTACATTGTTGCATCTGTTATGGAAGGCTCCCTTCCCTGGATCTCTTAGCTCTGTATTTGATAACATTTAAAAACAGAAAACATCTATATAGAAAACGGGAGGATATATTTAACATCATAATTTGGATAGCTCTAATTTTTTATAATGCTGTTGTTCAGAATGTTCTCAGTTTTAATGGGATATTATTTTTAGGTACACTATATTTTGGACATAGAAGTCATTCTTCTAAATTGATTTTGAATAAGTTTGTATTTGGTGGGTTGGCTTGAAAATTTGATTTTTGGAATTTTTTACTTTAAAAACTTTTCAGTAGTCTGCATTAACATTAGGAAAAAAAATTGTTTAAAGAGCCATATCACCAGCTTTTGAATTTAATGATGAAGAACCCGAGTTCCAGCAGGCATTTTGATTCTTGGTCTAATACAGGCTACCTAGAGAAAGGTTGTAGTTTTTGCCTTTCAGTTAGCATCCTTATGTCAGTTAGAAAGCAGATACAGTTTTGTGGCATGTCTTCGTGTGAAGAACTATTCTTAAAAACTCATAAATTTCAAAGTGATTTCAATGGTTTTGCTTCCTTGCCTTAAAAGCATTGTGTTCAATGCTTCAAAGTTTGTTTGTAACTCCGCCAATGACTTCTGTGACTTTTGGCAGGCAGTCCCTGTTTAGAATCAAATTTATGTGGAATTTTTAGCTACTCTGCTTTTTTTCTTTCATTTATAAGATCAGAAAGACCATTTATATAGAAGCTGCAGTAGAAAGGTAGGCAACTCAGAGTACATTTGGTGGTTAAAATGAACTCATCTCTTTTCATCCTCTCTTTTTGAAGAAGCCAGCAGAACATGTGTCTTTGTCAAATCCAGCTCCCCTTCTGGTTTCTCCAGAGGTACATCTAGCTCCTGCGGTGCCTTCTTTACCAGCCACTGTGCCAGCCTGGCCAAGTGAGCCTACATCTTTTGGACCAACAGGTTAGTTATGAATTTTAAAAATACAATGAACCATCCAACGTAAGCTTTCCAAGTTAGAGACTTCAAATGTTCGAGTGAGAGTTTGACCTCGTAGTAGGGTTAGATATATGGAGCCTCTTTTTTGCGATCCTTTCCTCTTCTTTGCTTCCTGTGTGGAATTCATTTGAGATACTCCCTCAACATCCCAGGAGGAAGATGTGTGAGCTGTTTATCTCCCCTGGTTGCTTTGGTTACTCAGCACTGACAACGAAGTTTCCTTCCCCATGGACCAGTTCTAATGATCCTCATTGAACCCTTTGTCAGGCTCTGTGTACATATGTTTGTAAGAGCTACACTCGTGACATTGATGAAAAGCTTGTTTCTTGAGTTCATTTTCTCCTGTATATCAGGAAGGGTCCTTGGTTAATATAAAAAGTTTCTTTGTATTGCTTAAGTACACATATTTTTAACAGGTATATAATTTGTATAGCATACTTTACTTTTTATCTTAATGTAAACTTGTAGTTGTAGAAAATTATTTTCAACTATATATAGTTTTTGATTCCTTTTCTTTTTTAGGTGTCCCTGCTCAAATCCCGGTTTTATCAGTGACACAGACCCTGACCACTGGACCTGATTCTGCTGTGTCCCAAGCTCATTTAACACCCTCTCCAGTTCCTGTGTCAATACAGGCAGTTAACCAGCCCTTGATGCCTTTGCCTCAGACTCTGAGCCTTTACCAAGACCCACTCTACCCTGGGTTTCCTTGTAATGAAAAGGGAGATAGAGCCATTGCACCACCTTATTCACTGTGTCACACTGGGGAGGACCTGCCTAAAGGTGAGCTGCTTCTCCAAGTTAAAACTGATTTTATTTGTCAAGTACTGGTACTGGTTGAGTTAGAGATGTACTAGGTACATCTAGGTTAACTGGTTTTTTTTTTCAATAGATGGAGTTACACATATGTTGATACGTATGCAATTTGAAATGTATGCTATCTTGTGTTGACAACAAGCTTAAATCTTCATATGTCAAGTTTTCTGAAGATGTTAACATCATAGATAATTTTTTACACTTAAAAATGTCTAGTTTTGTGCCAAAGAATGCATTTGAGGGAATTTTAATTCATTACTTTATTTTGAAGAAAAGTGCTGCTGAATAGTTCAGAAAGCTTATGGTGAACATTCCCCATCTCAAGATAATTGTGAATGCTGATTTAAACACTTTAAAAGTGATGATTTCAATGTGAATTGAAATATATAATTATAGTGAATGATGATTATGTTATTTATTTTCAGATAAGAACATTCTTCGATTCTTCTTTAATCTTGGTGTAAAGGTATTTACATTTTATCATTTTAAAGTTATTTTTAAGTAAACAGATTTAAATTCTTATTATTATCTTAAAGTAAATTTCCTAAGATTTACTAAATCTCATCTTAACTAGCAATTTCAGAATTGTGTAGTATGTTTCTTTTTGGTGGTGGTTGAGGCTCCAATTTTTGATTGAGTTTCCTTTTAATGGGCAGTGATTTAACCCTGTGAGTATGTTCAGGAGATGGTTCTGTTCCTGGGTGGCCTAGTGGAAATACCCTCAGTGAGGGAGTGAGCCATCTGGGTTTGAAGTTCTGCTGCATCACTTTTTAGCTGAATAGCTCTGGACAAGTCATTTAATGTATCTGAGCCCCGCTTTTTGAAGTTATGGAATAGGGGTAGCATTCTTTGACCTGCCTCATTGTTTAAAGGATCAAGGAAATACCATATAAAAGTATCCCTATAGAAGGTGGGGTGTTCACTAGTGGAGTGGAGGACTCCTTTGGGAAGTGGTCAGCCAAACAATAGTTTGTCTTGGAAAGAGAGGGTGGGGAACTCTTTGTCCTTGTCAGTGCTGTGTTGTCTCCTGTATTACCTTCTGTGATTAGGAGTCTCACTTTTATCTTTGTGGAGTGCTCTGGAGTTTCCTAGAACTGTGGAGTTGTAGGCTTGGGGGTCATTTACTCCTATACTAGCATTTTTCTGGTAGAGCAGGTCCAGACCAATTGTTTAGTTGGCATGGGTTCACACACAGTGAGCTAATGATAGAGCCAAAATACAAATGCAGGTTGAGCTATACAGCCAATGATTGAGGTACTTGAAGCTGGAGGCTCAAGTGCTTTCTGTTGGTGGCTTTTGAGATCCATATCACCTACAATTGTTTTCATGCAGTTATATCCAAAGAATGAAATTAATGGTCATGATAATTTTTGGATAGGTTCATTATATTGTCACTTGTCAACATCTATATAGGACTTTGGATTGCTTTCAGGATAGGACAAGGAATGGAGTTTTAGAGCAGTTTTGATTTTATAATTCTTTTCCATGTTGAATCTCACAGTGATGTAGTGCTTGGACTGCAGATTATATGCTCTTTGTAGACATAAGAAACATCTTGAGCCAACTTTAAACTTTCAACCTTTTGTTTTTTTAACTGTTTTTGTTTTTGTTTTGTTTTGTTTCTTTTAGGCATATAGTTGTCCTATGTGGGCTCCACATTCTTACCTGTATCCTCTGCACCAGGCTTACCTGGCAGCCTGCAGGATGTACCCAAAGGTCCCTGTCCCTGTGTATCCTCAAAACCCTTGGTTCCAAGAAGCTCCTGCTCAGAATGAAAGTGATTGTACCTGTGCTGATGCACACTTTCCTATGCAGACTGAGCCCAGTGTTAATGGTCAAATGCCACATGCAGAGATTGGACCACCAACATTTTCTTCACCTCTGGTTATTCCTCCATCTCAGGTGTCTGAAAGTCATGGACAGTTGTCTTACCAGGCTGATCTTGAATCTGAAAACTCTGGACATCTTCTTCATGCTGAATATGAAGAGTCACTAAGTGGCAAGAATATGTTCCCACAACCGTCCTTTGGGCCTAATCCATTCTTAGGCCCAGTTCCCATTGCACCTCCTTTCTTTCCTCCTGTTTGGTATGGGTACCCCTTTCAGGGATTCATAGAAAGTCCAGTAATGAGGCAGAATATTGTTCTGCCTTCTGATGAGAAAGAATTGGATCTACCCTTGGAAAATCTGGATCTGTCTAAACAAGGTGGTTCAGCTTCAGCAGGTGAGTTTCAGGAGGCCAGATGTGAAGACACACAACATGCTCTCCCTGAAGCAGATGTGCGTGAGCATGAAGGCCGGGCAGAGCAGTCGTCCCAGACACCTAAGGCAGATCTGGCATTGGTTTCCATCCCTCCAGTAGCAGAGGGAAAGGCTCATCTTCCCAATCAGAATCTAAACAGAGAGAGAGAAACTGTGCCTGTTGAACCTGAGCCTAAAAGGACCATTCCAAGTCTGAAAGAAAAACCAGAAAAAGTGAAAGATCCTAAGACTGCTGCTGATGTGGTCAGTGGGGCCAACTCTGTGGATAGCAGACTACAGAGACCAAAAGAAGAGAGTTCAGAAGATGAGAATGAAGTGTCTAATATTCTGAGAAGTGGTAGATCAAAGCAGTTCTATAATCAGACGTATGGAGGCAGGAAGTACAAAAGTGATTGGGGCTATTCTGGTAGGGGAGGATATCAACATACAAGAGGTGAGGAGTCCTGGAAAGGGCAGCCAAGCAGAAGCCGAGATGAAGGCTATCAGTACCATCGAAATGGCAGAGGACGGCCCTATAGGGGGGATAGGAGGAGGTCAGGGATGGGAGATGGCCATCGGGGACAACACACTTGATGGCTATTGTTGCAGTGTATTAGAGCAGAAACTTTTCTTAGGTGGAATGTTTCTAAAGGCTTTAAAAAAATACATTAAAATAAAAACCCAAATTGGAACTATCTCCTCCCCTACCCCTTTACCCTCACTTCTATTTTGGACAAGAGATTTTGGATATGTGTTCAAGGGGGCAGGTGAATTCCTGGCGCTGCCATTTCTCTTTGTTCAAAATCTGTTTATTTATGGGGTGACTGCCCCCATAAGTAGAAAATAAGTTTGTTAAAGTATTTTTTATAAACAGCTTAATATAAAACATTATAGATTTAGTGTTTGTTTGTTTTTCCCTTATATAAGTTTAATTTTAAATGTTGGAAATGTGTGCTGTATAGTGTTTACTAAAGTGACAAGAAAATACACCATTTGACATATGATAGATTCCAAAACATAACATTGCACCAAATAGAAATGTATATTTTATTATGCAATGCCTTAGTCATAAACTGGGCTCAAACAGTTCTTAGGCTAAAACACTGTTGTCTTTTGAAATGCTTCCAACCCAAAGGCCTTTCATCTCAATATCTGTCAAACTTGAATAATGTCTTCTTTTTAATATTACACATAAGGCAGCCTATTAACCTGTGTCTTAGAAATGTTGTATATAGTTCTTTTAATATTAATAGGGTATATTTTTGAATTTTGGTATTTGTTGAATTTGAGATCGCATACAAGAACATAGGTTTAAGAAATAATAGGAAATACAATGAAATGGCTGTTTCCACCAAGAATTCTTAGCACTGGTGTAAATATGGTGCCTACTCGAAAGAAATGTAGATGCTATGCATTTTGAAAATAATCTGCATCTGTTAAAACTGCAGAAGTTTTTTAATGCCACTTTAACACTAATGCACTGACAGATTTAAATATTTTGAGAGACGAAATGTTAAAAATTTTTAGCTTGACAGGTTTCAATAGAGTTCCTGTTTTTTTTTTTCACTTTGCACCATTGGTTGTGTGCCTCACTTTACATTTGCATGTTCACTTTGTCACAGCTGGAACTATTGTACAGAAAAGGATGATTGTGACTTCTAGTTCTTTTCTAGAGGATGCTGCTAGAAAGTGGTTTTGCTCTGCATTTTATAGCTTGTAACCTCTTGGGTAACCTGTCCATCCTGCTTCCTTCTTGTCTTCGTCTTCGCAGTATTTCACTAGAAGTTCCCTTTGCATGTTGCACTCTGTCCTCATTTGGAGATTTGACTTTGAATTAACACAGTATTCATTAATCTGTGTTATACTGTATAATTATAACTTTTATTTCTCGTTTGTATATACTAATGTGAATATATACCCTTTTTTTATGTTCTCTTTTGATCAGGAAGTTTGAGCGCTATGCAAGTAAAGTAGTAATTTCTCTTTGCATGCCATGTATAATATACCTAGCCAAAAATGAATATTTTTTAAAAAAGCAAATACAATTCACTTGAATTTGACAAACTGAAACAGATGAGTTTTCTGGGTTCTCTGATAACGTACAGAATTATTTGGGATGCCAGCCAGGCTCTGAATCTCCACTGTACTGTAATAATGGTTATTTTACCTCTGTTTTAATTACCTAATGTCTGTGTAACTGCTGATTCAAGTAGTGATTATCATTTAGATGTTTTGTAACATAGGATTTTAGCGAGCACTTTGAAAGATGTATTATGATGGTGCTAAGTAAAAACTTTAAAGACTGAGATGGTTGTGTGGAAGTATTGAGAGAACCTGCTGAAAGGAATTTCTGTTGTCACCTTCTAAGCTCTAACAATTGGGGAAGGTACTGCTTAAGCCATTTTTTTCTTAGTTAACATCAGTTGTTATGGAATAAGATTAGCAGGTCCTTTATTCTCAGCTCATATTTTTTAATGTAAGATTAGTGTATGATAGTTTTTATGAAAATCACCTTTAGATATTATGGCCAGATTTAAAATGTAAATTTAAACTCAGGAGACCAAAAAAAAAATTTGGTGTTTCCAGCGTCTTTTATTGACGGATTTGATCTTCTCACTTTCTTCTGGAAAAGTTGAAATTGGATAGGAAAGAATACTGTTCATTTCTTCACTGTCTTACCTCAGTTGAGTAACAACATACTCTATAGTTCCTATAAGAAATACTGATTTTCCTGTTTCCCATATTTACCTCCAGGACATGATGGAAACAGTGCTGAAAGAGAACTTTGCAGATGGTACTTTACTCAGTGACCTCTGGAATAAAAGAACTCTGAATTTTGATAATTAGTTTTAAAATTATGAGTCCTTGCATGAAGGTCAGTTTTTTATTTTAAGTTTTGTTTTAAATGTATTCAGGGGATTTGCCTTATGCCGAGGTTGAACCAAGTGAGCTTTTGTCCTTCATTTTGAATCATATGGTATGTTAACATGAGATACAATGTTTATCATACAATGTTTCCATATAAGAAAAACTAATGCTTAGAAGTGAGAATCATTTGTATTTTGAGTCGGAAATTATGGAACTTCACTGTATTAAGATTATATACATTTTAAAAAACAAATGTTTAGAATGACCAAAGGTCACTTCTTTTGGCTTTTGCTAAACTTGATTTTGTCCTTTTTAGTACTGGGTATATTTTTCCTCAAGCTCTTCTGATAAAATCTTCCTCTTGCTCCATGTACTCCTTGGAATGTAATTTTCATTCTGTTTTCTGGTAACCCATATATTCATTTTCATCTTGACTTGAGCTCAGACCCTGCCTTGATCTGGCAGGAGTAGGTTTTCCCAAACTACAGTGCTTAGTTGATATAAACTGTATATTTTGCATTATGTTTCCTTTGTGATTGAAGATTGAATTAAAATGCCTGTGAACTGCAAACTTGCTTATGATTGACTTGGTGCAATAAAGTTCCTTTCTAACCATTTCTGGTTTAGAAAACATTCAGCCATCCTAGAAACTAGCAATATTTATTTATGTCTCATTTATTTTACCTTCAGTTTTAGATGAGGGAATTGTAGTATTTCACTTGTGGGTACTAAGCAAGGTCCATTTTGGTGTAGCTGAAGAGAATGCATATTTGGCTACACTATTTCTGTTTACTATGTTTTGTTTCTTGTTTAAAACCTTAATAATTGGCTCAGTTCCAGCATGTCAGTCTCAAAGAACTAAGGTTTTACTACTAGTGTCAGCCATTTACTTTCCCACTAATCAGGACACCCCTCCCCCCGCCCCCGAATTAAGTTTTAGAAAATCCTAGTAAAGGGGAGAGTGCATGTCTTAATGCTGGGGAACAGCAACTTTGGTGTTGAATTTTACTTGAATGGATTAAAATTGCATTGTTACAGAGATAGAAAAAAATTTAAGTATGAAAAATAATAGCCTTATACTGAGTACAAATAATACTTTAAAAGCATGTGAAGATGTGATCATTTGTGATGTTACTTGTAAAAAATTATATATAAATATCTTTGGAAGTGTTGAAAGGAAAATAGTACTTTATATTCTTTATCATATCACTTTTTGTAAGTGTTGCATATATTCCTGTTTATTTTTCTATGTTCTGTTTTGTAGCCTTAAGAAGTGTTTCAAACATATCTGAATGTATCAGAGTAAATGCCCTACATGGTGTGATGCTGCATTATATATGAAACTGTGTGCATATATTAAATTTTGTCTGTTGATTTTGCTTGTGATTCTTTGGTTCCAGAGTTAACTCAGTATATAGCATATAAATCTTAAGAGGAATTTATTGAACTCCTAAAAATAAGTGATTTTTATCCAGTCAAAATTCTAGTGTGTATTATGGGGTAGGTACTATTCTTTTCCCTACTTCTATATATCTATACTGATAAAAGGGTAATATGCTAATTAGACCAGACATCTTCCAGACAAAGTCATGGTGGCAGGGGCCAAGGCAGAGGAAGTTAGGGGCAGTCAGTCCAGCAGGAGAGAATGGTTAGGAGCCAGCAGTCCTGGATTGCAAGAGGGATGTCCAACTGCCAGTTTAGGCTCGCTGCGGAGTGGCCTAAATCGACAGTCTGGTATCTTCCAAGGCGTCCCAGATTGGAGAGGGTGCAGGTTGGGGTGAGAGCCCCCCTTTCCCCAACACGAGTTTTGTGCACTGGGCTCTAGTATGTAATAAAACAGACAGGCCAAGTAATTTGATTAAACTCATTGCAAGTTAAGTGGTAGGATTTGAATTTTGAACCTAGCTGAGAGGTTTTAAACTAGTATTCTCATTTTTTCTGACTGTGCCTGGAAATGGGAATGTAGACTAAGAGTAATTTCTAGATTAAATGGCCCTTTTATTTTTAAAATTACTATTCAATATTTGTGTTCTGAAGAAAGATAAGGCAAATCATTTGAAAAGTTAGTTTTTGTGTTTTGAAAAGTGAAAGTAAGTTAAGTCTCCTAAGTGTATGGCTAGTCAGTATTTTAACCCACTTACTAATATGTACTTTGTTTTAGAATGGCTTCTCCAGTAGGCAGAGCCTGAAGCAAAGGCTTCATTCATTACAGGTGTTTGACAGAAAGTGGTAAGGTAGTATCCTGGTTAGTTAAGTTGGTTAGTCATAGAGGCCAGTTTTTAGGGATTGCTTGAGGTGGTGAGTGAAGTATCACAGAACCTTGAAGGATAAGAGGGAGAAAGAAAGGAAAAGGGGGAGGAAGTATTTATCTGTGTGAGTGCCACTATCTTTTGCCAACAAGTCAGTAGAGAAGCCAGAGCATGGGGAGGAAAACTGGGAGTGTTGATTGGAACCCTTATAGAACTGGTCACTTGAAATGGAACAGTAAGTAGGTAAGACCAATTGACCACTGGTCCACAGTAAGTGTACCCTGTCCAGGATTTCTCCAGAAGTTTCTATAATTGGAAGGGCCTGCTTTTTCACTTTGAATATTTTATATTTTCATTCAACTTTAGGTACATATCTAGGGATAGTTTGAGAAATATACTACAAAAGAAGTAAACACAACTTCTCTTCAGAGACACTAAATAAGAAACTCTTTCAAGAGTCTTGCACTCCGCCATTGGTAAAAATGTTATACTAAATATTTTTTTGATCTAGGAATTCATTAGAGCTCAAAGTCAACCATTTAAAAATACATACCAGTCCTACGATTACATTTACAGAAAAATCTTGTAAAGATTAAAGATGCAAATATAAAAAACGAAGAGTGTTGTTCTTAAGGCTTCCTATACCTTTGAATAGTCTAATGAAACTAAACTGGCAAGCTATTGATTCCCACATAAAATATGTGTAAGCTATTTTTTTTCTAACTGCATAAGTTAATTTTTTTTTTTTTTGTATTGATCTCCAGGTGGAGAAAACAAAAGTAATGCTATATACCTACCTATGATATGTTACTGTGTAACTTATTGCATACTTTCTGTAAGTTACTTTCTAAATTAGGAGTTAGTAAAAGCATGTAAGTCCTCTATGGTTTTAAAACGTGTTTACACAAATCAGGGAGAGGCCAGAAATGGAGACTAGCATAGGCATGAAACCATGCTCCACGGGAAGGGATTATTGGACAGACATGACTGGTAACCTCATTAGCTGAGAGCTGTGTAGATAGGAAGACATAGGCACAGGCAATGCTGAGAGCTGAAACAAATTTACATTACAACCAGGAGCACCCCAGTAAAACAGGCACTAATGGTAATAGCATAGCATAAATTTACTATAAACAAGCCTTTTCTGGCCTGGGTTTCAGATTCTTAAAGGGAAAATACAAAACACAGACATTATCACATTTGTTTAGGTTTGAGGTCCAGGAATCTACAAGCTAAGATAAAAAGCGGTTCCAAGTTTGAAATATACTTGGATCACCTGGTAGAAACAAACTGAAAGCCTTTGGACAGACCTCGGTCAAGGAGCCAAGATTATTTTAAGAAAATCTGTTTGACTTACAGTAGCTTAAACAAGTAGGGGTTTATTTCCCTTTAAGATATTTGGAGAGGAGTAGCTGCTGGTCACACCTCAGACGAGCATTTTTGGCATTTCTTGCGCCACTTTATGGGCACAATGTCCACAAGGATAGTTACCAGATATCCTTTTATTGGAAAAACGAGAGAGCCTCCAGAGCCCCGTCTCCTCCCAAAAGACTGCTACTTTCAATTTCATGACCAGGGCTGAATCAACATGACTATGCCTAGCTGTGAGAGACTAGGGAAATACAAGAGGATTGTCCTAAGTGTCTTACCCCCATTATAAATCATCATCTGAGGCTGGACACACTGCCTACCCTATCAAGTTAAGGAAGGAGGTGCTTGCAGTATGAGGTTGGGAAGGAAAGACAAAGCCCCACTGAACATCAGCTCACAACCAAAATTATACAAGGAAATAATCCAAGACAAAGACAGCAGACTAATTGCAAAGTAATGTAAGTATCGTTCCAAAAGATTAAAAGACAATGGGGTAAAAAAATTATAAGCTGAAGCACTGCTATCTTGATAACTCTAGCTGCTTCTCTAACTGGTTTTGCTTTGTCTCTTCAGTCAATACTTGGAGAATGTAAAAACCTCTAACTTAAATCTTGAAAGCATGGAGAGTCCACTACAATCTGCCTGTGTCTATCCTTTTACTAATCTCTTCAATGCACATGCTGTTCTCTGCTTCTGACCTGACATGTGCTCTGCTTTACATGGATTATTTTACCATTTATTGTTACAAGTACTATATTTTTCTGGGAGCTACCTCCTTCATGTAGCCCTTTCTGACTCCACAACTATTTCTTGCCTGGATCATTGAGTGCTCATCTTACACCAGGCACTGGGTTAAGTCTGGCATACACATATCTAGATGTTAATGAACATGAACAAAATTATAGAACCAAGTAGTTATCCTGTCTTCCTACTTCCTGTGACAAATAGATTCATTCAATACTGTAGGCACACTACATACCAAACTATACAATGAATTATTAGCAAGAGAGATACTGGATTGGATTTTAAGGTACTAAAATGATTTCTAAACAATTGATATGTACAAAATATAAAATTCACAAAGCAACAGGTGTTATGTATATTTATATATCACCTTTTCTATTTAATCAAGTTATTCTTCCCCGAAGCATTAAGCTTGAGCATCCTTTTGTGTACTTTAATATTTTGTATATTTTCATATGAGTGGTGTATTATATACTCTGTTGCACCATGCTTTTTTGCCTAGAGATTTCTTCCAATCAGGACATATTCAACAGTCTTTTTTTAAATAGCTAACTTCTCCATTGATGGTGTTTCTGAGTTGGTAATACTGATTTTATAGAAATTTTTTTTCATTAGCAACGGTAAGCCCTTTTCTACTGCCACAAAAATTTAAGTAACAGCTGTAATTTTAAATTTTCATCTGCATGAAAAATGTAATACATATTCTGTCATAAGCAATAGGTAGAATTGTGCTCTTTACATACTGTATACTCTTTAGTTTAATACAGAATCAGTAAATAAAAATAGCTTTTGGCTTATTTTATTCAATTTTTTGAAATAATCATCCACAAATTTAACCTATCCTTAAAAGTAGGCACTACATATTTTAGTATAATCCCATTTATATACAATATAAGCCCTTTACATATTAACACTGGTAACCTTTGGGAGGGTAATATGAAGGGAGATCATAACTTTTTATTCCATAGATTTCGGTATAATGCAAATCAAATGAATGGTGGAACAACCGGTCACTATGACACACAGTGACCACCAGGGGGCAGACAACGCAGAAGCTGCCCCCAGCCTGCAAGCCCCAGGCCAGCCAGGGTGGGTGCCAGCAGGGGCCCCCTGGTCACCCCACCAAGGTGGTGACTGGTAGTGGTGGGGTGGCTGGTGCATGAACTGGTGCCACCCCTGGATTGCCCCAGGGCGGGGGAAGGGAGAAGTGGGGCTGGCGAGCAGGTGGTGCTTGTCCAGCCAAGGTGGGTACCAGAGGCCACCCCTCCCCCCCCCATTGCCTCACCTGTTGCCCCACAGATTGACCCTGATAGCCAGTCAGGCCTAGGGATCCTGCCCATGCACAAATTCCGTGCACTGGGCTGCTAGTTTATATATTAATTTTAAAAAGGCCTAATGGGGCCCTGTTATACTTTGTCCAATTTGCATATCAATCAAACCTAAGCTATTGTTTCAAGTAACTATAAAAGTCTGTTCAATAATTTCTTTAAAAAAATTGATTTTTTTTACAGAGAGGAAGGGAGAGGGATAGAGAGTTAGAAACATCAATGAGAGGAACACTGATCAGGTGCCTCTTGCACACGCCCTACTGTTGATATGCCCGCAACCAAGGTACATGTCCTTGACTGGAATCGAACCAGGGACCCTTCAGTCTATTCCACTGAGCCAAACGGGTTAGAGCTGTTCAGTAATTTCAAATTCCTCTAGTTTGCTTGCTCCATTAATTCATTTAGTAAATTCTTTCCCTCACTTATAGTATGGTCATTCCAGTTCACTGCATTAGTCAGAAGCATAACTGAAAGGTTTCACACCAGAGGTTCCTATTGCTCAAACTGAGACTTGGGGTAAATTTTTACAACTTATGCCCGGCTGGTGTGCTTCAGTGGTTGAGCGTTGACCTATGAACCAGGTCATGGTATTCCCAGTCAGGGTACATGCCCAGGTTGTAGGCTCTATCCCCAGTGTGGGGCCTGCAGAAGGTAGCTGATTAATGATTCATCATTTGATATTTCTATCTGTCCTTCCTTCCTTCCTCTCTGAAATCAATAAAAATATTAAAATTCTATTGCTCAAACTGAGTACTTGGATAAAATATTAGAACTCGTGCTTTACATTATCCAAAACTAAAAAGAAAAAAAAAGTATAATAGACTTATATAATAGCCTCTAGATCCAAATTTAGAATTGAGTGTATCTGGTAGTACAAGGGATACTTTGTACTGTTACCTGGGAAGTGTTTGCATTAATGTTGCCTTTAGATAAGTGGCTCACAGTTCTTGGCTGCCCATCAGAAATCTGTGGAAACTTAATAACATAAATGCTTAGGCACCAACTTGAGAGATTTTTGTGCCTGGGAAGCAAGTGTTCTTTACAGTGCCTTTTCCTAAATCTTGTTTAGTGATTATAAAGTTATGTTTAGAGAGCTACCCTGTTTCTCTGAAAATAAGACAGTGTCTTATATTTTTTCTCCCAAAGTTGCGCTAGGTCTTATTTTCAGGGGATGTCTTATCTTTGCGCTAGGTCTTATTTTCGGGGAAACACGGTATTACCTTGAGAGCAATTACAGAAAATAGAATCTTATTGTATGCTAAGCATGAGTATATCAAAGTGAAATTATGTTGTTTTCTTGGTGAGAGTTGGGGGGGGGGCGGGATACTGAAATGATTTTACGAAGATATTCAAAAGCACCAAAAATTGTAAGCAACGATTAAGTGGTGGTTTATAGTAGATGATCTAAACACACTGATAATATAGTGCAAAGACTGGAAACAAATATAATCCTAAGGTTTATTTATCAAATTTCATAAGTGGAGACTTGGACCAACTTTAAAATAAGGGCAGTTCATTATATTGGCATACTTATAAGTACAACATACTTATAAGGCAACAATATAAGTACAGAAACTTAAGACTTTTAAAGGGGCAACACTGGTCAGCATTTGGTACATGAATATAGAACGTCTACTGAAAAATCTTCCTCTACATCATGAAAGTTTGGAGGTAATTAATGTAGCTTGAAATGTGTTCATTTTAGAATGTTAGAGGCAAAAGGGGCCTTATCAAGAACAGATTTTTTTTTTTTTTTTTTTTGTGGTTTGGACTACAATTTACAACACAACTGGCTTATGTTACAATCAGCAAATTCTACTTCAGGCTAGGGAGTGGGGCATTAAACCTGATTAAAGTTTTATCCCAATGTTTCTCTTCATAAATGGTTTATCGATATTGTCGGATTCAGTCTAATCATCCAAGAAAAAGTAGTTTCCACTCTTCTTTTGTTCTACATCCTGAAAAATAGAGAAGCAACAAAAATCACCACCAGGTCTGCTTCTGGATATTCCTTGGTCCAAGACTTAAAAGCAAGATTACTACCCATTCCTACTATAGAACACCTACCTCCGTTGGTTCAAATCAAGCCAAGCCCTTCACATAAAATACTTATTTACACTCATAAAGTTGCCACAAAAAATACTGTTTCCAGGAAAACTATTAAATTCCATTTTCATCATTTTAAGCTCTTGGTACAAAAGGTCCATATTGTTGGTTTGAAAACTGCCTAGTGCACAAAATACATAAAAAATTTCCCCAGTGCTCTTTACTGACTGGCCAGTAATGATCCATATCCATCTATTAGCCTACTCGCTTATTAGGGTTAAGGTATTACTGGGATGAGTGGGCAGAGAGAACCAAACCAGAAATTTCTGCAAAAAAAAAAAAAGGGACAGTACAATGTTCATTCAATTAAAAAAAAAAAGGGGGGGGGGTGACACACAAAAATAAAACACCGTGTTCATAATACTTCAGCAGAAATTCTAAGGAAAAATAGGTTCTGCATAATGAATGTTCTAGAATTTAGGTCCTCTTTTCTGCCTAATGTTTTCCAAAATTGAGGAAACTTCACTTTTAAGCTAAAATTTGTCATTTCATTCTCCTGGCAAGTGAGTAACAGTCATAAACAAAACACAGAGATGGCTAAAGGCAACATGATGTGTACGATGACCTTGTCTTTGCATTCCAAAAACTCATGGTTAAGTCACAAAGCTAGTGGAGGACCAAAAAATAAAATCTAATGACTGCTACAGGAATGGTGTATAACATACTTCTAACAGTTTCTAAAGTATTATGATAGTCAGAGGACCACTAAAGGTAAGCAGAATTTTAAAGAGGCTTTGCAGGGTATGTAAAAACAAATGGGTTTTTTAGAATTCATTTTAAAAATGAATTTTTAGCAACCAAAAAAAATTATTGCCTTTTGATAACAAATGGTATTTCACAGACTACATTAAGTGTAGGTGGCACAATTATTTTAGATACCACAAAGAAAGAAAAAGGGCCAATTAAACTGACAAAATATTTTTCCATTGTTTAAAATTTTACGATCATTGAAGGAGCTTATTTAGATTTTTCAACTATATGCTTTAATTATGTTGCTCCTATGCATGCAAAAAAAGAAGAAAAACACACAAACTGATTAAGGTATTCTTAAAAACTTGTTTCACTGGTGCATTAGTGTAATCTTTCTGAAGGCAGTTAAATGGCAATTAACACACGTGGTGCAGCAGTGGGTACAACTCAGATGACATGAACAGCTCTGCTGGAGTTCATGTAGCAATGGCAGCCACATCACAATTGCTGCCCATAAAACTTAAGTATGCCACCAGGTATTAAAATATGAAAACATAACTCTGGAAATTATTAAAATATAATACAGATTTTAATTTGAAACATGCCTATAGTTATCCAACATTTGAGATAGTTTTTCTACATACCTTAATGGAATTGAGTTTGTTTATTCTTGGCCTATAGTTGTTTGGATCTCTTCTGAATGTAATTTCAAGTTGAGATAAAAATTTATTCATGCCAGCCAAAAGGGTTTGAGGACTAAAAGAAAAACAAGGTCAATTTTGATTAAATTCTACCCCTTAAATTCACTGTTCCCTCTAATTCTCCAATCATAAGCCATCTGGATAGCAGTATACTACAGCATATGATAAACTCTATGTTCTGAAATATCTTCATGTAGACTCTGTAGTTTGGCTATAATATTTTTGTGCAAAACAGTTCAACTTGTTTCTGATCTAGAAAAAATATTTAGGGAGTACTATAGAAAAGCAAAAGATCATTAACTAGTAAATTACAGAATTTCAAACATGACATTTTTAGAGAAGAGACTTGGTTAGAAATTAAGACACTGGAGGGAATATGTACAATGTAATGGTTTTTAGTAATAAAGAAATTTTAAAATGTCTATGCTTTATTCATCCTAAATCGTGCTAAATCACATCATACATGTGGAACATTTTATAAGCATTTTATTAGTATAAAAACAAAGAGGATCAATATTTGAATAAATAAGCTTTATCTGGCCTAAGAAATGCCCCTAACTCTCAAAGAAATATGTAATTTTCAGTTGTTAATGTATGAATTTAAAAATGAAAAGAATGGAATTCTGGGAAGCTTAGTAAATTACTTATATTTCATGAATGAATTAAAATAGCAACTCCATTCCTCCCTAACACCAGAAAATGTTACGTTGGAATCACATAAAATTACTGTTTTTATAGGTCAAAATGGTTGAATATAGAAATTTCATATGGGTCAACCTAATTTAAGGTTTTACAGTAAAACCTTATAGGTTAGCCTTCTCTACATTACAAATTTTCTCAAGCCAGTAAGGAAAAAAAATGAAAAGGCGAGGGGCTAATCCCCTGAGTGGAGTTCTATAATAGTCTGAAAATGATTCTGCTGGTCCCATCAAGAATTCCATGTGAATAATCTTAGATGTTACAGTATAATTTCTATTTCTGGCTATCTCTTTCCTTCTTAAAAATTAAAATGGTTTGAATCCCCAGGTGGCTCAGTTGGTTGGATCTTCGTCCCATATACCAAAAAAGGTAGTGAGCGGGTTCAATTTCCAGTCAGGGCGAGTATGGTAGGCAACCAACTGTTTCTCTCTCTCTGCCTTCCCCTCTCTCTAAAAATCATTAAAAAAAAACCCACAACAACATATCCTCAGGTGAGAATTAATAAAAAAATTAGAATAGTATGAGTAATATTTATAAGCTTATTGGAAAATTTTAGAAAACTTTCTAATTATTAAAAGTTGTAATGAGGCTAAATATTTTAGAAAGTAGTTTTACCTGTTTGCAACTGTGTTCTTAGATGGAACACCATCAAAAACAATGACTCGATCTGCTAGATAGGTGGCCATGATGAAGTCATGTTCCACAACAAAGGCTGTCTTCTTAGCATGGAGTATGAAGCTAAAACACATGATTGCAAAATCTTTTATAGTTTTATATAATCAAATACTCGAATGCTATATTAAGCACAGTTGTATGCCAGGCCACATAACGAAAATAATACTTTCATGAGGTTATTACCGTTTGATAACTCGCGCTGCCATCAATCTTTGTTCAGAGTCCAAATATGCAGATGGTTCATCAATTAAATAGACATCAGCAGGTTTGCCCAAACAAAGAGCTAAAGCTACTCGCTGCAGTTCACCACCAGATAATGTCTGTACCTATTTGGAGAAGGTTAGCAAATGATTTAGAGACATAAATAATAAAATAATAAAATAACAAAAAAAAAAAAAATTAGAGAGTACCTCTTGATCAATGATGTTTTCAATTTGCAGAGGCTTCATTACATCAGTCACAAATTGTGGATGAGTGTAAGCATCTCGTATCTTTTCATGTAGTAATTGTCGAACACTTCCCTGTTTTTAATGGATAAATATTGAAAATTTATTTCAGTACAGAACTACTCTAATTACGAATTGTAACAAAGTTAAGTTCCAGCGCAAAACTAGGTCAATTTGCCACCAACAGATATCAATAGTGTTTTCATGCTTATCTGTCATCTATGGCATGTTCTGAAAATTTTAAATTAAACCCATCATGTCCAACAATGAAAAAAAAAAAAAAAAGCGATCTTGAAATTTGAAAGTAAATGCTGAATGTTTCAGGGGAGAAATCATTGAGAATAGGAATAATCAGTAAGATAATACAAACTGATAGGAATGAATCTTGAGATGTACTGCTTGTTATTTCTGGAAAGGTCTGAATTTGAGAATTTAAAGGTAAGCTTAGCCGGGCTGCTGTGGCTCAGTGGATGAACATCGACCTATGAACAGGGAGGTCATGTTCGATTTCCAGTCAGGGCACATGCCCAGGGTTGCGAGCTCAATCCCCAGTAGGAGGTGTGCAGAAGGCAGCTAATCGATGATTCTCGTCATTGATGTCTCCCCCACCCCCCCTCTCCTTTCTTCTCTGAAATCAATAAAAAAATATATTTTTAAAAAAGGTAAGCTTATAGAAAGTATCGATGGTAAAATTTTTTATTGTAAAGCTAAGCCATCTCAAATAGACCTAAGTACCTCAGTATTGAGGTACTGAGTATGGATTCTGAAGTCAAGAAGTTCCTTATAACACCTGCAGAAACTAGAGATTAACAATGTTTTCAAGGTTCATCCATATTGCAACATTTATTAGTATTTTATTTTCTTTTATGGGTGAATACATTAAATTTTATGGATATACACAGTGTTTATTCTGTTCATCAGCTGATGGACATTTGGGTTATATCCCACATTTTGGCTATTAATGAATAATATATTTGTGTGCAAATTTTTGTGTTGAGACAGTCTTCATTTTTCTTGGGGATATATCTAGGAGTGGAAGTGTTGCTTCGTATGTAACTATGTTTAATTGTTTGAGGAAGTGCTAAATTGTTTTTCAAAATGGCTGTACCATTATACATTCCCACCAGCAATGTACGAGATTCATATCTCACCAATACTTTTTTTTTTAATTTAAGTCATCCCAGTGGGTATGAAGTGGTTATTACATCGTGGTTTAGATTTGCGTTTCGCTAATGACTAATGATGCTGCGCATCTTTTAATATGCTTGTTGAGCATTTATATACCTTCTTTGGAAAAATGTCTATTCAAATCTGTTGCCTATTTTTAAATTGAGTTTAAAAGTTCTTTATAGCTGAAACTGGTTTGGCTCAGTGGATAGAGCGTCAGCCTATGGACTGAAGGGTCCCGGGTTCGATTCCGGTCAAGGACATGTACCTTGGTTACGAGCACATCCCCAGTAGGAGGTGTGCAGGAGGCAGCTGGTCAATGTTTCTCTCTCATCGATGTTTCTATCTGTAAAAACTCAATAAAATATATTAAAAAAAAGAGTTCTTTATATATTTGAGGTAAATGATTTGCAAATAGTTTATTCTATACTAGGAGAGGTCTTTTCCATTTCTTGATTGTGTTATTTGCAGCACAAAACAATTTAGGTTTTTAAAGGTTCATTTTGGGAAAAGCTGCCTATCAGATTTTTAAAAGCATTTTCTTAGTGGAAATGAATCAACGACTAGTCTTAATACTTCTCTAGACACTTAAAAAAAATATATATGTGTGTGTGTGTGTGTGTGTGTTTATTGATTTTAGAGAGGAAGGGAGAAGGAGAGAGAGAGAGACACATCAATGATAAGAGAACCATTGATTGGTTGCCTCCTACATGCCCCCCTACTGGAGATCAAGCCCGCAATTAGGGCATGTGCCCTGATTGGGAATCAAACTATGACCTTATTCACAGATCGACACTCAACTACTGAGCCATGCTGGCTGGACTCTAGACATGTTTTGATAAAATTGTACAGAAATTAATTATAATTTTGTTATAGAAAAGATTAACATTATATATACATATATAACTTTTCTTTAATAACCAAATAACAGAATAACTCACAGTTGACTTGGGACTGATTTTCTGTGGCTTATAACTGACGTTTAGAACCGGTACTTCTCCTGCAAAATAATGCAAATAAAAAACACACTGAAAACTGCCCTGATCTTTAAAGTTTACTATGTAGAACTGAGTAAAAGGAATCAAGATTACAACAGTACCTCCTTCGTCAGGTTTCAGTCTTCCAGCAAGCATTCTGATAAATGTCGTTTTACCGGTACCTGGCAACACAACATACAACAAATTGACTTGAAAGATGCTCCATATTTAGTGTAAATCACTATGTATTACTGGGTTTTACTTGAGAAATTAGTTTAAATATATGCATTGACACTACTGAATTCTGAAGGTCATATAGAAAAATACTTAAACTTTCATGATTCATCTTTCAAATATAACTCTAAACCAGTGGTTCTTAACCTTCCTAATGCCACAATCCTTTAATACAGTTCCTCATGTTGTGGTACCCCCAACCATAAAATTATTTCGTTGCTACTTCATAACTATAATTTTTCAACTGTTATGAATCGTAATGTAAATATCTGTGCTTTCAGATGGTCTTAGGTTCTATAGTAGCAGTTCTCAACCTATGGGTCACCTAAAACCATCAGAAAAAAAACATTTACATTACAGTTCATAACAGTAGCAAAATTACAGTTATGAAGTAGCAACAAAAATAATTTTATGGTTGGGGGTCACCACAACATGAGGAACTGTATTAAAGGGTCATGGCATTAGAAAGGTTGAGAACCAATGCTCTAAACTAATTAGGAGGAATATAAACTAGTTAAAATTAATAATGACCATTTTAATAAATGATAGGCCTACAAAGTATTAGACTTTGGCTACTTTTTAAAAAATATTTAACTAACCTTTGTAATAATATGAACAATAAAGAATGATTAAAAAAAATATAAGCAATCCAAAAAAAAATATTTAACTAAAATGTCAATGCAAACAATTTATTAAGATAAAATAGTATTGTTAGGATTTACACCATCATTATAAAGACAATTTACATGAAATACTTAAGTTAATTGCAACCTAGTTCAAAATTTTTATTCCACAGTTTATAAGCTACTAGAGGCCTGATGCACAGAATTCGTGCAAGGGCCTTGGCCCCGACCCCCTGCTGTCGCTGTTGCCCGCTGAGGCTTTGTCCAGAAGGAATGACGTCTGGTCTAATTACCATATTATACTTTTATTATTATAGATAAGTATTTTTTTTTTTTTTAAATAACGAAAGCAATATCAAATATTTGGTACTCAAATTCATCTAATAATTATATTTATGATGGCAATATAATATTAAAAAGTGCTGGTAATAGAACTATTTACAAAGGTACACTAGTTTGGATTTAAAATAAGAAAATCTCCAAAAGAATGAGTGCAAGGACATTTAAAACATGATTGCTTGTGAATTGCAAATATTGTTTCCTGTCTAGTCAGTATCCGAGAAACTAGATTTTAAAAAAATCTTATTTTTACTGAAGGTTGTCAGACAAAATAATATGAACTTGATTGTTCACATATCAATAAAATTAGAAAAACTTACCATTTTCCCCCAACATCACCATGATTTCAGAATCTGTAAACTCTCCAGCTACAATTGCTAGCTCAAACTCTCCCATCTTTTTTCTCATTCCGGGATATTTATACATACACATTTTTTTAACTTCTTCTTCATTTGCTGTCTCAGCCACTTTAAAAACAAGTGATGCATCTCTGAATCTCAAATTTTCTGTTGGAACGTAACCATCCAAAAAAATGTTTATGCCTATTGAAAAATCATTTACAATAGATTAGTAAAGATCAATGAAAAATTAAACTTTCTCTATAGCAAGAAATTACTACAGAAGAGCTCAAACCTCAGGCTCTCTTGGGATCACTGTAAGCACAAGCTTTAAATTTCTGTGGATTTATGATAACATGCAGCGACAACACAGGTTTTATGTATCTATTATACACACATACAAAGCACATCCTTACATTACAATGTGATTTTATAAGATATTCCCCCAGCATGTTTAATGCAAAAGCATACAATGTCATTTCTGCTGCTCATATTTAACTCGCAAATTCTAATTTTTCTCTAAAAATGACTAGCAAAAGTGGAATATTTTCATAGAATGACATAAAATAGTTTGGGGAATAACTTTTTTTAAAAAGCAACAAATTCTTTTATTTTTAATTAAATATTTTTATAGGTAAGAAGAGGCTGAGATAGGAACATAAATGATGAGAGAGAATCACTGATCAGCTGCCTCCTGCACGCCCCCTATGGGGGACCAAGCCAGCACCCTGGGCATGTGCCCCAAGTGGGAATCGAACCACAACCTCCTGGTTCATAGGTTGATGCTTAACCACTGAACCACGCCAGCCAGGCTGGGGAATAATTTTTTAAATAAACAGTTTAAAATATGAGTATTCATTTTCACATGAGCTATAATTACACATTGAAGTTATAATTTACTGTATTTATCCCCTAATTATTTTTGTAGGTTTCTAAGACATTTGATAATAATGAACTTCATTTGACACTTTTTTGCTTCATTATACAAAGTTAAACACCATTATCTAAAAGGTTTTAAAGCCTGGCCAGTGTGGTTCAGTGGCTGAGTGTCGACCCAGGAACGAGGAGGTCACAGTTCCATTCCTGGTTGGTCAGGGCACATGCTCAGGCTTCGGGCTCGATCCCTAACAGGGGTTATGTGGGAGGCAGCTGATCAATGATTCTCTCCTCCTCATTGATGGTATCCCTCTCTTTTTTCCTCTCTCTGAAATTTAAAAAAATTTGATATAAAAACTGGAAATAAACTAACATATTATACACTGAGAATCCCTCCATACTAAAGTTGTTAAGATCCATAATGGCAGACACAGAAATAAAAAAGTGGATTATTTGGGAGACAAAAAAACACACAAAACACACTCTTTTTTAGTGTTTCCTATATATAAGGGAGAAGTAACAGAAAGCTTGGTTGAAGTTTTGGAAGGTCTCGAAAGAGAGTCTAAGAATATTATTTGTTTCATCTGCAACTGAGAGCCATATTGGGGTCTATAAGCTCAACCTAAAACATAGGTGTGTTCAATAAATATTTGCGAACAGAACAAATGAAGAGATACACTGCTTTTGCCAAAAGTAGCACTTTAAAAAAATCTTTATGTGAGGTTAAAAAAAGTAAAACCAAAAATTAAATAAAAACATAAACTTGAAGGAAAGGAACTTTAGTGAACATTTAGTCCAAGTGCATAATTTACAAGGTAAGGAAAATAAGATCAAGAGAAATAAGAGACTTTGAGCAAAACATTAATAAATCAATCTTTATATTCCTACTGCAATGTTTCTCTTATCTTTTTTACAGTTTAAGGAGTTATATACATTGCATTAATTTGTTTATTAAAGGAAAGCAGCAAGATTAAGTGGTTTGCTATTTGAATTGTTTTAACAGATAAGGCACATTAAAAACCTCACCAGTGACTATTTTTTCAGTGACAAAGCCTTTACACAAGGTATTCATTCATAAACAGAATTGACAAGCGATTATCCACAGAATTTTCAACATGATTGTAGAACTACTACTACTATGTGGTATAGAGTAGGCACTCAATAAATATTGGCCAACTAAGGCAAATAAAACGAATAACTTCTGATATCATCTCTTTAAAATGATTAGAAAGAAAACTGAGTAATCTCACAATTTTTTCCTTTAAATATGTTATTTATCTCAAAGTTTAAGAAGTGATAACAAATCCTTCCCCATATCTTAAACTAAGCCTAGCCTGGTGTGGCTCAGTGGTTGAGCATTGACCTATGAACCAAGAGGTCACGGTTTGATTTCTGGTCAGGGAATATGCGCAGTTGGCAGGCTCGGTCATCAGTGGGAGGTGTGCAGGAAGCAGCTCATCAGTGATTCTCATTATTGATACTTCTCTCTCTCCCTTTCTCTCTGAAATCAATAAAAATATATTTTAAAAAATATTTATATATTTTTATCAAACAAAAAAAGCCACCGCTGCCTTTTTATGCAAAATGTATAATGCAAATTTCTTTTTCCAAAAGTGTCTTAGGTATCTCAAAAACTATCACTTATAGACTATGCTCTATTTTCAAAATATGGATTAAGTAGTCCTTTTCGGTGTTCTAGGTTGTCAGCTAAAGGCAGAGGCAAAGAGAAGAAGTAGAAAGGAAAATAAAAGTAAGAAAGCAGCAAAAGGAAATAGAAAGGAATGAAAAGGAAAAAGCATACCAGATGGAGAATGCACAGACATTGTTTCAGGAGCCACTGAGTGGTAGGCTAGTTTTTACTTTTGTCTAACTTGCTTAGGTAGGGAGGAGCATGGAAAAGAGAGGCAGAGAGTCCCTCTTTCCTGAAAGTAGAAGGAATATATAAAAATATACTCACAAGCTATTTTACTAGGCTTATATATAGTCAGTTACTAAACTGTAATATATATTTACTAAACTATCTTATTAAACTTTTAGGCAGCCCTAGTTCTACAAACTTAGGATAGACAACATACATGTGAAACAAGCTAAGCACTAAATGAATTTTAAGAGTTTCACTATTGGTATTGGCCTGTCACAGATGAAGTTGAAGATGATAAATTAAAAAAAAGTTTATATAGAAGCTAATATACACAAGAAACTTTTAATACAGCAAATAAATAGTAAAACTATTCTGCCAAATTTCTTTCTATCCACCCCAACAAAAAATTCTCCAAAAAGATGTTCTGTATTATAACTGATGAATATAAACATATATATTATATATTCTGTTATGTGATTAAATTCCATGAGACCAGTTTTAGATAAATCATATTACAGCGACTTAATATCAACAATAGTTCATTTTCTTAAGCATTAGAGTACAGAGAATACAGCATTGTGAATATACTTTTGCAAGTTACCTTCTCTTACACTAAAAGGCATAGTGACAACACCGTATGCACTTGGTACGCCATATAAACAGCAGATGAAGTCAGAGAGATAATCTAATACACTTAGATCATGTTCCACCACAATGATATATCTGAAAATATAGATTTAAGATGTAACAATATATATACATAACATTAAAGTTATATTTAATAATAACTTCTATGTAACTTTTTTTAAAACACAGTGTAAATTTCAGGAAAAGAGATATTTTTTAAAAATTAAGCATAACGACCATATTAAACAAAAGTAAAATATTTATTTAAATATGACTTAGCGATATTCCTACTTCAAATTGGTATCCTAAACTAAAAGAAAAAAGTTAATATTAAATAGTTTATGTTATAATAAATGTATTTTACTAATAAACATTTTAAATAAACTTTACAAAGCAGAACAATGAATAGATTTAAATCAGATGCACCCTGTTTGATTAGTATGCTATTCCCCTTACACATTCAACCTTTCTACTTGTCCCATGCTGGCTGTGGTAGGGGATACATAGAGAATAACAGACAGAATCCTGAATCTGAGAATTTCCAATGTAGCTGGGAAAGACAAGTCTCACTTTCTTCAGGTCCCCAGACATGGCTCTCAGTTTCCAAAGAAACAAATGACATAATTAGACTTTTCTTTTAAGACCTTCTAAAACTGAAGCTACTCTTTTTTACTTCATTTATATATAGGAAACACTGAAAAAATGGACCTTTCATTATTTACTAAACAATCCACTTTTCAATTTGTGTGTGTTTCAGGGGTATTCTATCTTGTAAAACGTCTTCTGCCTAAATCCTCACTTGTTGGAAGTCCCTTCTACCATCTCAAATTCTAACTTCTGAGAAACACCCTTATAGTTGTTTGTTCCCTCATTCTTTAACCTTCGTTATTCTGATCTAATTCTTGCACTTTTTGAGTACCCTACTACTTGCCCCAAACACTCCAAAGACAGGCTGCAATCTGAATCTCTATGATCTTTACTTGTGTGTTATGCATCAAAAAGATATTTAATAAAGTTGTTGAATGATGAAGAATTTGGACTTATGTTAATTGGCATTGGGGGAAATGGTAGGTTTTTAAACAGCATTATCCATTACAGGGTAGAACTTCCCTGATTATGGAAATGTTCCATCTCTATGATGTCCCATATGGTAGTAATTAACTAGTGGAATGCCCAGCACTTAGAATGTAACTAGTTTGATTAAAGAAATTAATTTTTTATTTCAATTAGAATAAAAATAGCAAAATATGGCTAGAAGCTACAACCTAATTTTAGAATACAAGAATGGTATGAAAAAACATTACTTCAGTAAGACTGAACATGTGATTTGACATGTAGAATCTCAGGATACAGATATACCTCATTTAACTTTTTGTCAATTTATCACGAGAGATTATTTTAACCCTATACCAAAGACCTGGCACATATATGCAAATGTCTAACTCAACCATTTTCTTCACTTTATCAGTATAATTTGCTTTGAAATGTTATCCTTTTACAATGAAGATTCTGTAGTGTGTGTCTAAGTGACATATTCATTTGAAGATCTGGTAAGAGCTAAGGATCTGCTTCACAGAAACCCATTTATTTGTACCAGAATTTGCCAATCATTTCATAGTATTCATAGTTCCCTGGAAATAGGCTTAGTAGTAAATAAATCTTACATTAAGAACCTATGTTCTAGTTAGAGGAAGGTAAATTCAAATGGTAGCTCCAAATAGTCAACATGGAAAACATGCACATGAATTTGACATTGATGGCCCCAGTGTTCAGTCTTTAGAAATCTGTAAAACTCCCCAAACAAAATAACACCGGCATATGGCAAATCTGTACTTACCTATCTGGATTTATTAGAGATCGGATAGTAATAGCAGCCTTTAAACGCTGCTTGACATCTAGGTAACTAGAAGGTTCATCAAACATGAAACTATGAAAAAGAAAAGCAAACGTAATTTGAAAGAGAAGTATGACATAATTCTATCTTGCATATAATTTTAAAGTACTATAATATAGTTTATGTTTGGCAACAACAAAAAATCCCTTATTCTATTGAGGAGTCTGCCCTATAATGGTAAAAACTTCGTATTTTCTTCAGAAGAAAAGAAATTAAGAAAAGCCGAACATGAGGAGACACTCCCAGATTAGGCTACCTTAGAAATGTTACCTGCTTATGAAAAATATTCTGATGTAGTCCAAAATAATAAGGAAAGCTTTTCTTTTAAATAGCTTAAGTCTGTTGCATTAAGCAAATAGTTTCTGGAGTGGAGAGCAGTGCACAGAATTATAGACTACTTTAGAGAGCTAGCCTGCTTTGGATGCCAGAGCAAAAACGTGGAACATGGAGCAGGAAGTATTGGGAAGAAGAGAGGCACTGGAAGGTAGGAAGGAAACTGGCCTTTTTTACTCTCACATACCATGCCATCCTGATTCAGAGTTATCTAAAAGACCTTCTATTTTACTTGCAGTATTTATAAAAAACTTGCTGGCTTTGTTGGAGAGCTTAAGTAAGCCTTAAAAAATATTCTTCTTATGTACAAAGAAAGTTTAAATAATAAAGAACTTACTTCAGAGTAAAAAACTCTGGACCCCATCAATTGTAAAGTATTTATCTAAATAAATGAGTATCTCCCCCTGCAGGAAGAACAGGGAGAATGGGCAGTGGATGCACAATTGCTTCAGCTTCTTACATCAAAATGAGAATCTTAGATACTGCTTGTATTGTTTCTCTCAAAACCACTGTTTTATTACAGCATTCCAAATAAAAGCTCTAAAGTAAGGATTGAGATCTATAAAAGGTGTAAATTAACCTACATGTCAGCTTTCTGTATGCAAACGACAGCACAAGCAAATCTCTGCAACTCTCCTCCTGAAAGATCTTCCACATTTCGTTCTTTTAGATGGGTTAAATCTACAAAGAACATAGAGGCATTGTGTTTACCGTAAGTTTTATTTCACCTCTGCTAAGTAAAATTTATAATGTAGGTCATTCTGAGTTTGACTATTTCAGTTGAAAATTGTGTGAAATAAAAAGTAAAGATGACAACTACCAGAGATTTCCCCATGTATTTCAATAATCCATATAAAGACATTTGTTTTATAATTTAAGTTTAGGGCCTATTCAAACACATACACAAAATAAACACTTACCAAGCTGTTGACATACAATTGTTTGTGTCTTTGTTTCATCCTTTCGGTCCAAAATAGACCCTACTGTCCCCTGTCATAAAATGGATAAAAACAGTCATTACTGTTTTTCTCCAATATTAAAATTAAATTCAATGTTAAAATCCCTTCAATCTTTGCTTTAATTTGATATATATTTCATACCTCCATCAATATCTATAAAGTATAAATTCCTCCTAAAAAGCAACTGACCTTTGCAGCTTTGGGAATCTGGTCTACATACTGAGGCTTGATAATAGCTTTGAGGTCATCTTCTAGAATCTTGGTAAAGTAATTTTGCAATTCAGATCCACGGAAGTAAGTCAAAATTTCTTGCCAATCCGGTGGGTCCTAGAAATATACATATAATTACCTGAATTTAATTTAATAATACAATTGCAATGAGGATGACTGTTATACAAAATAGAATATGTATCCAAATAGAATACTTTTGGCTTCTAACTTAATCTTAATATTGAGGATTTAATTTCAAATCAAGGTATACCAACTCATAACAGTTTAATAAAACTCAGAATAATCAGATAAGTAGCACCAACAAATTTTAATTAAAAAATGAAGGAGTTTCATCTATGTATAGTTTCTTAGCATTAATTCCACAAATAATTTTGAGAGGGGAAAAAAAAAAAAGACACAGCCCTGGATGGTTTGCGTTAGTGGATAGAACTTTGGTAGTCAGAGGACTGAAGAGTACCAGACTTGATTTTAGTCAAGGGCATGTACCTCAGTTGCAGGCTCAATCCCTGGTCCTGGTCAGGTGCATGTGGGAGGCAACCAATTAAATGTATTTATCTTAAATAGATGTTTCTCTTTCTCTGTCTCCACCACTTCCTTCCATTCTCTCTAAAAATCAATTAAAAAATATCCTTGGGTAAGGATTAACAAAAGCAAAACAAAAAATGACATAAACACTCTCTTTCAGTCTCAGAAAACCAACCCAAGATATCCATTTTTTATAAGGTGGTAATACATACATCATACTTTCCGAGATTTGGCTTTTGCTTTCCTGCTAAAATTTTTAAAGCGGTTGACTTCCCAATACCATTAGTTCCAACTAATCCCAAAACTTCACCTGGACGAGGGATAGGTAACCTGTCAAAAGTATACAAAAATAATAAAACTCAGAAAAAGCTACATAATATCAGAATGATATACTTTAATACACTTGCACTCCACACACATCCATTAAGCTAAGAGATATATGCTAGGTATTATTGGCTATTAGAAACCCCCCCAGCCAAGATTAACTTAAACTGTTAATTGTTAGATACGCATTTATGGCAATATTACCTACTCCAACTTTTATTTATTCAAAGTCTGTACTAAAGTAACAATTATTCTTTGCACATAAGGCTCAGTTTCAATGAAAAAAAAAAAAAATGCTTTGGTAAAAAATGTTATAGCAGGTACAACCTCACACTGTTGTTTTTGTTTTCCTGCCACTTACTTACAAGGAGAGAAGTGCTACATCAACCAGAAATATTCCACTTCATTCTCCCTGCTGCAGGAGGCCCCTTAAAACTGGCAGGTTGAGAAATATCTTTTTATTAGTTAAATCTAGACTTCCAAATTAAAAATATCAGTGTTTAGCAGATGAAACATCTCAAAGGACTCCTGTAATTTAATAATATATGTCCAAGTTCAGAGTAATATTCTCTGTTGATCATGAAATTAATAAATAAAATCAAGGACAAGTTTCCTTAAAAGTCTTTTTGGGAATACAGGTTTATTAATAATAGCAATTCTCAACCCCAGTTATATTAGAATCATCTTGGAGCTTTTACAACTTACTGAGGTCCAAACTTTTTATCTAGAGATAGGATGTTAATCAACTGGGCTGAAATCTGGGCATTAGCTTTAAAAAGACCAGGTAACTAATGCTGGCCAGAATAAACAACTGATATATATAATATGATTCCACATGATGTTACAATATTGTATTTCTCCTTAGTGCATGGGTAATAGTTTTCCCCCAGTTTTGCATATCTCTGAAAATTCCAAATGCATTTTACTTTTCACCGAAGAGGAATGTTGACTTGAAAATATACCTGTGAAGTTTGAAGGCATTGGCACAATATCGATGTGTTGTTTCTTTTTCCAAGTTGCTTGGTAAGTTAACAATTGATAAGGCGCCAAAGGGGCATTTCTGTTATTTAAAGTAAAGAATTAATTTTTTGTTAATTTTTGGAAGTAAACACTTAAGTAAAATGGAGAGATTAAGAAGTTTTTATAAGCAATCTTCTGAACATGGAGTTGCACAAAGATGTAAAATATTTTTCATTTCCTTTTATTTACTTAAAAGTTTCTAGAAGGCAAAAACTGTATCAACTAATTTTGCATTACACTTAGTGAATGCTATAATCTTAGACATTTAATGTTCATTTAATACTTATTGAAAAACTTCATGGAACTTGGAAGTTCTGTATGCATTTATTTACTTCATTAGATAAAAGAAGGCTAAAAGGCGAGATAAAACAGGTTATTAAGCACTAAACAACTACATATTCAGCTTATGACAGATTCCTTCCCTCTACTTCCTTCTTCCTGTCTTTGTATGCATCCATTTCTATCTTAAGTCCTTTAAGGTCATGGATTGTACCTTTTGGGTCTATTTATGTCCCAACAACAGCTGGCATTACATTTGGATAGAACAAGGATTAATGTCTTTCTGCTGTGATTTTTAACTATCCCATATAAAAAAGATGTTTCTTATTCCAACTGAGTAAATTCACATGAAAAAAAAAAAGACTTACAGAAAAACTTTTTCAAATAATAGTTGACTAGTAATCAGATAAATGTCTATGAAACAAGAATGGCAAGAACTAGAGGTTCATTTAAGAGTGGTAATGTGCCACGGCCTGCATGGCTCAGTGGTTGAATGTCAACCTATGAACTGGAAGTTCAGGGTCTGATTCCCCATCAGGGCACATTCCCAATCCCCAGTGTGGAGTGTGTAAGAGGCAGCCGACCAATGATTCTCATTATTGATATTTCTATGTCTCTCTCCCCCTCCTTTCCTCTCTGAAATCAATATATAAAAAGAGTGGTAATGTGGCTAGAGAAACTTATCAGAAGTACATATAACTTGAAAAAGGTACATCTCAGAGTATAATCATATTTGAGATTTGTTTAGCAGAACTGTTCAGTGAGCTCAGGGTCCAATTCAAAGTCTGTATAGAAAAATTTCAGTAAGTTTTATTTTTATGTTTAAAAAACATAGATAATTAAACAAATATAACTTTTGTTTTCTAAATAAGTAATTACTACTGTCTAAAAATACTATTAATTCTTTACATGAGATATTTTCTGCCAATCAAGTTACCTTCATTTATAGAATTCTTTTTATTCCATCAAAATATTTAGAGGCTAAAAGTAATTTAAACTTCTCTAAATCTACAAGGGAAAACAAATCCACACTGTTCATATATGAACTGCATTATAAGCATCTTAATTTTCAGGTATATACTATCCTTACTCCCAAAACAGACTCATCACATTAGTATTTTTTCAGCCACTGAAGTATATACCCCAAATCTTGGAACCTCATTTTCCTACAGCAGTGAAAAAAAGAAAATAAAGTTCTTTCTTTCTACAATTAAAAATATATTACTCAAAATCAGATTTCTAGCACCAGAGAACATTGGTAAATAAAAGATTAGTAAATATTTGCTGGAAGAAATATTTCCTGCTTATATTTTCAAAATATGGGAAAATGTTTTCAGGTATTTTATTTCTGGAAGCCAATGCAAAGTACACATAAGCTTATTAGAATAAGTAACAGATGGTATCCATACTCTGGTAAAGATCCTTTCTAAAATGCACACGATATACAAATAAAAACACCTAAATTAAGAACTTTGTGAACTGGCTCCTAAATATCTTTCATGAATTTAAGTTGGAAATTCATTATTCGTAAGTCAAAACCTTAATCAAACTTTTTAAAAATATATATATTTTATTGATTTTTTTACAGAGGAGGAGAGAGGGATAGAAAGCTAGAAACGTCAATGAGAGAGAAACATCGACCAGCTGCCTCTTGCACACCCCCTACCAGGGATGTGCCCACAATCAAGGTACATGCCCTTGACCAGAATCGAACCTGGGACCTTTCAGTCCGCAGACCGACGCTCTACCACTGAGCCAAACCGGTTTCGGCCTTAATCAAACTTTTCAATGCAACAAAATCTAATTTGGGGTATTTTGAAAAATTATACTAATGGAGTAAATTCAACAAGAGAAGAATGTACAAATACAGCAAAAAAAGCACTTAAAAGATTAGGTTAAGCTGGAAAATTTTGACCATATGCACTTCTATTTAAAAGTTGCAAATTTAGCTCTAGCCAGTTTGCTCAATGGATAGAGTGTTGGCTTTCGGACTGAAGGGTCCTGGTCACGGCATGTGCAGGAGACAACCAATCAATGAGACTCTCTCACACCAATGTTGATATTTCTCTTTATCATTCCCTTCCACTCTCTCTAAAAATCAATGGAAAAATATCCTCCGGTGAGGATTAACTCCCCCATGCCCATAAGTTGCAAATTTAAAGTTATATAGACTTAAAAAAAAATGTATGTTATATAACTCATATTTTTAGTATTCATATTCCCAAAAAGTTCTGGTGAAGAATATTCTTCTCATAAAAAGGTGAGAAAAAAAATATAATTTTGGTTGGAAATGGCTTTACAAAATTGAATATGGTGAGGATAACTTTTAAATAAAAATCTGGCCTAATTACAAAGCAATAATATTTGATTATTGATATAAGTACAAAATTTATATTCATTACCCAATGCTTTATATTTTGCCTCTTTAAAACAATTATAATATATTCAGAATTTTCAGATTTCATTTTTAGGTTATAAATTTGACCTGGTAAATAAAATATCACTTACCTTAATACAAATACCACAACCAATACAAAGAGTTTCAGAAATCCAAGCTATTTTGCTCTGGGGTGTAACCTCAATGCATAGTTTTCCTGGCAAAAGAAAAATAGGTTTATGAGGCAAGAGGGAGATGACTAACATATTTATTTTGTTTAGTTTAGTACAGGGGAAGAAAACATACTGGTAGAATTGTGGCAGATTCTAAAAGTTTTATTTTTAAGCTGACTGACCTAAATATTTAATTCACAAAATATGCTTTGCAAATGGTAATGTACCAGTATACCAGAGAAAGGAATGAAATGTTAGCTAGCTCAGTGCAATTCTAAAAAGTTAAGTAGTCATCTAATATACAGACAAAATTAAACTTGGCATATAAACAAGACTATTAATAATAGAATTTCTGAACAGCATGGTAGACTATGATCTAGGAATCAACATCTATGATATCTAAAGTCTTTTAAGATTCAATAAGCCTAAGTTCAATTATTTTAACACAGTTGTAAAGATTACAAACAATTCATTAATTCTGAATTGCTGTAAATTTATTTTATCTTGAAAATATAGCAAAACCTCATGAACAGGGATTCTTTTTTTAATATATTTTTATTGACTTTTTACAGAGAGGAAGAGAGAGGGATAGAGAGTTAGAAACATCGTTGAGAGAGAGTCATTGATAAGCTGCCTCGTGCACACCCCCTACTGGGGATATGCCCGCAACCAAGGTACATGCCCTTGACCGGAATGGAACCTGGGACCTTTCAGTCTGCAGGCCAATGCTCTACCCACTGAGCCAAACCGGTTTCGGCGTGAACAGGGATTCTTTTTAAGCTCTTTAAAGTGAGAATATTATCAAATACAAACATTTTGGCAATCCTTTCTTCATGACTTAAAGTAATTACAGGATTTTGTAGATCAGTAAGAATATCAGTAACTTAAACTCTGGTTTGACTTTATATTCAATAAATGTTTAAAAAAATACCGATACTAATACACTATCTATAATTTAAAAGAAACAGAATCATATAGTCATAAAACAAAAAATTCAGGACAAAATTTGGTGTCTTTACATTTTAAAGAAACTAATGACAAAAGTCTAGACAACTACGAAGCCAACTTATTCCTTTTAAATCTCTTATCTTTAAATGATCCATGGAATAGCTTACCCATTCGAACCACAGGGCAACTCTTTTTGCATTCTTGCCGACATTTCTTAGGTTTACATTTGTCATGGTTGACAATAGCAATTCTTGTTAATTTATCTGCCATAGCTAGGAATATCCAGCTCTTCTGTTAAAGAGAAATTAAAAAAATTATGACATAATCACTGCAATTAATTGAGAAATAAGTCAGGCATAAAAGTTAGATAGTAGAGATCAACCAAAGGACTTGTATGCATGCATATGAGCATAACCAAAGGACAGAGACAGGAGGGGTGCAGGTGAGGGTTTGTGCTGGGGGGTAGGAGTGGCTGGGGAGAATTCAATGGGGTAAAAGGAGACTTATATATAATATTTTAAACAATAAAGAATTTAAAATTGAAAAAAACTTAGATAGGAGGACATATATTATCCCTATATTCTGATATGATTATCTGGAATTAAGTGAAAAAATACCATCTTTCATTGTCACAAAAAAAGAAATGATCTAGAAATCAACCTACATACAAATATGAGGCAACTTTTAAAATACCATTAAAAAACATAAAAGACTCAACAAACAGAATGAGATTTTACATAGAGGATAGTAACACTAGAGATTTCAACCTTGCCGGAATTTATACATTTAATCCAATCTCAAGTGGGGAGGGGAGAAGAGAGAAAATTAACCAAACAAACCAAATTTAGAGCTCTTATGAAAAAAATAGTAACAGCTAGGAAAGCTGAAAAAAGAGCAGAAGGAAAAACATGATATAAGGCCTGGGTAATTAATATTGTTACCAGTATATGAATATAGACCAATGAATGAATACAGAATAATAAAACCTGACATGACAACTACCGTGTTTCCCCGAAAATAAGACATCCTCTGAAAATAAGGCCTACTTAGAGGTTTCTTCTGAGTGAAATATAAGGTCCCCCCCTAGGCTAAACATGAGAGATTTGGTCCACTGATTCTGAAAGAAATGGAGTCACAAGAAATTCACCAGGAAATTCAGGAATTGGATTGTTATGATGATGTTCCAGAAGACGATGACATGATTGTCATTGAATAAATGAGTAAATTCTTGATACTGTAGAATACACAGTTTGTCTGGTTTGTGTTGACAACTACCGTACTACCGTACCGTATACAGGTAATAAATTTCCTTTATTTTCATTTAACAATAAATGTGTACCGTATTCTTCTTCATGGAAAAATAAGACATCCCCTGAAAATAAGACCTAGCGCATCTTTGGGAGCAAAAATTAATATAAGACACTGTCTTATTTTCGGGGAAACAGAATAATACGCATGATAAAGATGTTTACTTCCTCTCTCAAACAAAGCATGAATAAAACTATCCATCTGACTATAATGACTCTATTGATGAAAATGACAGTTTCTAAGATTCTGACCATTGTGTTGGTAAAGTAGAAAAAGTAAAAACTGTATTTATCTGGGAATCTGCAATATGCACAAGATGAATTTTATACTAAGAGCACTGAAAAGCAAAGGAAACAAAGTAACTAAGTATAGACTGTATTCATTTTTAAAGCTTTTATAAGTCTGGATATTTAACAGTGCCACTGATTATGTAGCTAAAGTCAAAGTAAACTTTTACAATACTGGGCTAGTGATAGACTTTAATTGAACTTAATTTTCTTAGACTTGTGATTTAAAGAAAATAAGTCCCAAAAGTGCCTTAATACACCAGCTTTCCAATATGTAATGAAAGAACCTGAGGCCAAGACTTTTATTGACAGACATTCTGTTGGTTTTTTATGACTATGATCCTCAATCCTCTATTTATTTTTTGACAGACTGGCTCCTTGTAGATCTCTCGAGTATTTCTCACACACCTCAATATCATTATACATTGAGGAGAACAAGAAATTATGCTCCTGCCGAAACCAGTTTGGCTCAGTGGTAGAGCGTCCGTCTGCGGCCTGAAAGGTCCCAGGTTCGATTCCGATCAAGGGCATGTACATTGGTTGCGGGCACATCCCCGGTAGGGGGTGTGCAAGAGGCAGCTGGTTGATGTTTCTCTCTCATTGACGTTTCTAGCTCTCTATTCCTCTCTCCTCTTCTCTGTAAAAAATCAACAAAATATATTTAAAAAAAAGAAAAAGAAATTATGCTCCTATCAGGCTATTATTTTCTCTTCTTTCTCACTAAAAGTTTTATCTTTTGCATTTTGTCATTTACTGACCATCAGATCATTTGCCCCCACGCTTTGAAGATTTCAGACCTTGGCTAACTTTCACCTTCTTTTACAACTCCTGTCAAATTCTTGATTCAATATATGTTCATAGATGAATCACCTATTAATAGCCTGTCCCCTCAGTTAATAACCTCCTCTCCTGCAATGATCTGGTTTTTCACCCTCCTTCAGCCACTCATTCTTTTGGTCAAACCCTTGACATCACCTTTACCAACTGCAATCTCTCCATAGTCTCCATTACGAATATCTCATTCACCAACCATCACTCTTTTTTTTTTTTTTTTTTTAAATATATATATATTTATTGATTTTTTTTTTACAGAGAGGAAGGGAGAGAGATAGAGAGTTAGAAATATTGATGAGAGTCATCCATTAGCTGCCTCTTGCACACCCCCTACTGGGGATGTGCCCGCAACCAAGATACATGCCCTTGACCGGAATCGAACTTGGGACCCTTCAATCCGCAGGCTGACGCTCTATCCACTGAGCCAAACCGGTTTCGGCATAATACTGTGTGAAAGCATTTAAAGATCACTGTTAAGTGTTGCTTAATATCGCACGAAGTAGTCTAACCTATGATTACTGTGGATTATTAGTGTTATAAAACATCTAAGTTGGGAGTGGTACACAACTGATTTCAGGGTCTTAAATTGACATTTAGAAGAGACACTAAATTAATATTGCTTTCTTTTCCCCACAACAATTAAACGATCTTCGTAAGAGATTTTTTTTTTTTTTTAAATAGGGAGAACAAGGTTTTTAACTAAAATAAAAGAAACCTTTTTGGTTCAAACACAGGTTTGAGAACCTTGGTTAACATTGACAAAGCATTACTGTCAGCCAGCTGGACAGAATGGATATCCCCAGGATAAGGGACTAATGGGTTGAGGACTGCAACACCAACGCCACTGTCATCAATGCCTACTTAGCAGTCCTGTGGAAGAGGATAACAGAAAAACAAAACATGGTCTTGACAGTCATCTACGTAACCACACACAGCAAAAACAGGCCAATGTCTGTTAGCCTACTCAGAGGTGGAGGGGCTTTGCCCGTAGTGACTACCATGTACGAACCTCTTGGAAGGAAAAACAAAACACAAAAATAAAGGCGTTTTGAGTTAAGACACCACCCCTGCTCTCAAGGAGTTAAGACACTGCCCCTGACTAAGGGGAAAAGTCACTAAGGGGAGTAGTCACTAAGGGGAAAAGCGCCCGATGCTGTAAAAGCGCACCAAAAAAAAAAAAAAAAAAAAAAAAAAAAAAAAAAAAAAAAAAAAAAAAGCTAAAGGCGCCTAGCGGGGAGATTAGCTGGGGCCATCCCACTGAAAGCCTGGTGCACGCTGTTCTATGAGAAAAGCAGAGCGGCTGCCTGGCCATCGTTTCTGTCCAGGCTGGGAGGGGACGAGGACTAACTCCGCTTCACGGCAGCAAGATGCCACTGACTCATCCCACCGTCACCCAACGGTGGGAGACAAGGCTACGACTCCCCGAAACCAAACCCGCACGTGTGGGAATACGCCCACTCCCCTGTGCCCGGGGAAGAAGAGGGGAGGTAACGGGGGCGCTGTAGATCCTGAAGGCGCCCTCCCCTTCAGAAGGCTCCGCTCTCGGGGGAGCAGCGGGGTGCAGGGGGCTGGGAGCGGGGAGGGCTGGATCGCTGAGACGGCCTCTCGCGGGGGCTATCCTCGCCGTCGCCGGCGGGGTTGGCGGGCCACAGCGGCCGGGAGCCAGATGATCAGCTGGGACGGGAGCCCCACGCGCCATGCCCTCGCCGGCTGCCACGCGCCGCCGCCGCCGTCCCCGCTCGCCGCCGTCGCCGCCGCCGGAGGCCTAACCCAACGTTCCACAGCCTTTTAAATCGTGGCGGAGGGCGGCTCCTGGCCAAACCCCTCGGGGCTACTTACTTACCCGGAGATAACGACCCCCTTGCGGAGGGGGAGCGCACACGCCGAACCCGCGATTGCTGTCACTTGTCCGGTCCACAACGTGTTCCTACGGCCTCCGGCCAAAATGGCGGTGCCCAGCCGCGCCTCGCGCAGGCCTCAGCGACGCAGTGCGCGCACGCGACAGAGAGCGCCGGGCGCGACGGGGAGGCGTGACGTCATTGCGACGCGACGCCAACCAGACGTCACCGGGAAGCCGGGCGATCCGGAGAAGCCGAGTGGGAGTGGTGCGGCTCCGCTACAGGGAATCATAGGAGCTTGACCTGCAGCGTACTCGGCCTGCAAGCCGTAAGTGCACGAGCTTTTGACGGGGAGAATGGTTCTACCCTAAGCACATGCTTCATCCTCAGTCTTTATTTTTTTGTTTTCCGCGCCCAGTTTCAAGGCCGGTGGGTCAGGAATGAATGGAGCGTTTAGCCGTTGCCCGTTTTAGCCTGCCTAGCTCAGATGTCAAGCAGGACCAGAAAAGTCTGGTCCAGATGCTGATGATCCTTCTTTGGATTCATTTCCTTCTGGACTGTGCAGGCAGGAACCCCGTCTCATCTGAACTCCGTGTTTTATCCACTTGGTGGCGTCCAGTACCAAGTCCGGCAGTTGAATTCAGCTCTAAGTAGCGAAATGGGCCTTTTAATTTTTTTTTAATTTTTTATTTTTTACAATTTGACATTTTTGGACACAGCTTGTAATTCAGCTTGTGGAAAAAAATATTCAGGGCCTGGTATAATGTGGATATTCTTTTTTTTTTCAACATTATTCAGCTTGTAATAATGGTCAGAGGTTTAATTGTCTTACCTTAGACCTTACTTAACTTGTACGTGGCAAGTACTTGACTGTATATTGGATATATATGTATATATGTATATATGTATATATGTATATATGTATATATGTATATATGTATATATATATCCATTCATTTATTCATCCAGTAAATTGAAAATTTAAGTTTTAGGCCTTTACGAATTTTACAGTCCAGTGGCTCTACTATTTAGTGAGTAAGTGCTGTTGTGGGGATTAGAGAACAACTGAGATAAAATACAAGGTATCAAGGAGATAGTATGTGAAACTATTGGTCCAGATTTATAATAGCATGTATAATGATATTCAGTAGCTGTAACTTCGAATTTTTGAGGCAGTTTTATATACTGTTCATTCTGAAAAAAGTCCTTTTTTTCATGTTTGCATAGATATAACAAGATTAGCAGCCGGGACCGGTTTGGCTCAATGGATAGAGCGTCGGCTTGGGGACTGAAGGGTCCCGAGTTCGATTCCAGTCAAGGGCATGTACCTTGGTTGCGGGCATATCTTCAGTAGGGGGTGTGCAAGAGGCAGCTGATCGATAACTCTCTCTCATCGATGTTTCTAACTATCTATCTCTCTCCCTTCCTCTCTGTATAAAATCAATAAAATATATTTTAAAAAAAATTAGCAAAAGATGTGAAAGATGAAGTAAACTTTTGGTTTAGAATTTGCCAGTTAAACCAGACCTTGAAGCCATTTTTTCTGACTTTATCTTCTATGGTAATAGAACATACAAAAGGAGCTTTTTAAAAAATATATATTTTATTGACTTTTTACAGAGAGGAATTGAGAGGAATAGAGAGAAACATCAATGAGAGAGAAACATCGATCAGCTGCCTCCTGCACATCCCTACTGGGGATGTGCCCGCAATCAAGACCAGAATTGAACCTGGAACCTTTCAGTTAACAGGCTGGCTCTATTCACTTAGTCAAACCCGTCTCAAATGGAGCTTTTGACAACTAGTGGGGAAATGTGATTTTTCTCTGCATCACTTAATGGACTATTTAAAATGGAGACCCATATTCATATATTTTGGGAATAAGAGCATTTCTATCTGAGTTTTCTAGGGGGAAAAAAGTCATTTGAATTAAGAAATTTTACTCATAGAAGAATAGTACTGTATAACGCTATGGAATTATAAATCAAGTCAACCTCTTTGACGGGAGAGGAAATAAAGTCCAGACCTTCCCAATGTCTAGGCTAAAGAAGGGGCTGAAGCTAAAACCCTAATTCCTAATTCCCCTTTGCCTCCTGTACTCTGCTGCTTGGCACATAATATATTTTAGAAGCTGAATTCCCAAGATTTTAAAAAGTACAGTGGTTATGTTAACTGCATTTTGAGAATAAGGTGATTATTATCAAGGGTCTATGAGTGATCCATTTTGCTATTAAATGTTTATTTTTACCTTTTGAAAAAAATTCAGGTCCTGGTATAATGTGAATATTCTTTTTTTCTACATAGAATATTTTAAAAATGACCACACCAAACAAGACACCTCCTGGTGCTGACCCTAAGCAGTTGGAAAGGACTGGAACAGTACGAGAGATTGGGTCACAAGCTGTTTGGTCACTCTCATCTTGCAAACCAGGTAAAACAAAACAAAAAGCTGTTTATAATAGCTACTTAACCAGTACAGTTTTATTCTATTCTGGACTGACTTTAATATTCTTTTTGTCTATATACTTTATTTTAATTCTAAAATAATTTGAGTTTTCATTTGTTATATATTTCTTTCCAATTGTGTTATTGCTACCCACTTGAATTTCTGCATATGTCATAAAGTCTCTTTATCCTCCCCTGTCTCTGCTATGATTAAGTTATTTGGGATAAGTGAGTGATACATTTTTTGAATGATTACCTATCCCAATGTAACTTTATTTTACTCTTGGTCGAGAGAAATCTTGAATGTCAGTCTTTTTCTCTCAAAAATTTGTGGATGCTATTATACCATTTTCTTTGATGTCATATTGCAATAAGATGGTTATGCTTGTCTCCCACTCTCTTTTTTATATTACTTGTTTTTTGGAAGCATTTAAACTAAGCATGTCAAACTCAAAAGCTAACATGGGCCAAATAAACAAGGTTTGTTTATGTGGATTGCAAAAAAAACACACAAAAGCTTCAATTTTCATAGAAATGTGGGTTTATTTTGGTAGATACATGCTGACTTCAAAGGGCTGAAATAAATGAGTAACCATTAATATAAAATAATACAATAACTTAATAAAATTTAATATTTTTTCTTGAACATTAACTTATCAGACACTGAATAACTGCACTAATTAATAATCATAATGCAAATAAAGTTATTTTTCTTGTTCTCCAAAAGCGAAATATTTCTTGAAGCTCATACCAAACAAGTCAGCCCAAGACTAATGACATGGCAATTGGCTGTTAAAATATTCGCTGCTAGTATTAGTGGAGAGAAATAGTGTGCCCACACATAAGTCATATAAGGGAAACAAATGCAACACAATTATAGTAATCAGTCATTAGTGAATGTTGTAGTTCTTAACAATTATGTATAACAGGATATTGGGCCTAGTAGTAATTAATGTCGTTTTTAAACATTCGTTTAAAATCTTGCTTGGCATTGACTTGTATTGACATAACCTTCAAACACGTGGTATCTACAGAACGTGTGAAGTGCAATTAACAAGTTTTGCTTGAAAAAGTTTGTGTTTGGTTTTTGTTGCAAAACTAGGGCTAAGAAGATGGCGGATGAAGAGCATATTCGGCACTGCATGCTTTACGAGTTCCAATTAGGAAGAAAAGCAAGTGAGGCTGCAAAAAACATCTGTAGT